GTGGGTTGGGGTGACCAGGCTGTGGTGTGGGTGCTGGAGGTTCTGGAGCAGCCACAGGTGACCTGGAGGGGCTGCCCTGGGGCTCCCCGGCTTGCTGGGGCTCCTTGGCTCGCACATCTTCAGCCCCAGCACTGTCCTGACGCTGCCTCTTGCTGCTTGTAATGGGACTGATGAATGCAGTGAGCTTTGCTCTCCCCAGCTGCAGGAGAGCTCGGAGGTGTTTTCCATCTACATCTGGGCCTTCTCCAGCAGCTCCCCTTTCCAGCAGCTCCAGTTTGCTCACAGTTCATCAGAGCTGTCACTTGGAGCGCTTCTTGGCCTGGGAGGCTCCTGCGTTGGGCCAGGTAAGACCAGCTCGCCCTGCCTGGGTCCCCGTTTGTGTGGGTCCTGTCACTTTTTTCCTTCCTGCCCTTGAGCATCTCTGCACTGAAGCCCGTGGGGACAGGGTGCTGTGCTGCAGCTCTGCTCCATGCCAGGCTCCTGGCCCTGGCAGCCCCGAGTTCCCCCAGTTCCTGGTGAACCGGAAATGTTTGCCAGGGGCTCTGTCTCTTATTAAGCCAGCTTACTTTATATATATAAATATTTAATGTTATATATTTTTTTCCTGTTATGTACATGGTTTAAGCAAGGCCCATGCTGCCAGGAGGGGCAGGAGGAAGAGCCTTAGCAGTGACCACAGGGACAGCATCCCCGCGTCATGGGCGGTGGCTCCATGCAGCTCCTGGCAGCACCAAGAGCATGGAAAAAACATCAGGAGATGTGGATGGGAGATGCACCGACTGAAAAGCTTGTGTCTCTTATATCTTGCCTGTTGTGTGTGGTGCTGAGTGCTTGGTGCAACACCCCAAAGCCAAAAGCCAGGTCCTTGCCTTCGCTGCCAGTCCGTGCCTCATTCAGTGTATTGGGCCGGGGGATGCAGGTTGGCACGCTGCTGCTTTTGATGAAGTGTTTTAGCAGTGGTGGCACTGAGCATGCAGCAGTCGTGCGGGGAAGGCTTTGGGATCGCTCATCCTGCTCCCGGCCAGTGCATGGGCTGCTCCGAGGAGTGCTGCTGCGGGATGCTGTTGTGCAACGGGGCAGGAAGGAAAGAAGTCAAATCCCACAAAGGTGCTGCAAGAGAAAGAGCGAAGGAGCTCTGGCGACCTCCTCCTCTTGCAAAAGCCAAGGAGGGAGGAGTCATTTTCTTCAGCTGCCATGTTCCAAAACAGTGAGCTAATACTTAAAGCCCTGACAGTAAGTCATGCCCATGTGCACAGTGCAGATCGCTCTGCAGAAGCGGAAATGTGGACTGCACAAACATGCACAGCATTGAGAGGTGTGAAGCGCAGGTTAATTTTTCCAAGGGCTCAGCCCACGGCTGCCGTTAGCGCTGATGGGCTTGCGCAGGTTCAATGTTTTGGAAAGAAGTTTTTTATAGACAAACGTAATCCTAACAATAAAAACCCAAACGTTGTCTTTGCGGGGCGGGGGGTCTGAGGTTTGCATTTCCTTTATTACTGAAAGCCAGTTCTGGAAATCACAGAGCTTACTGACACAAACCTCAACTCCTGCGTGAAGGCTTGCGGCTCGAAACGTCGTTTGGGGAGGGAGATGCGGAGAGCGGAGCAGCTGGCTCTGCAAAACCCATCCCAGCCCTGTATGGGCACTGCAGGTCTCGTGGTGGTGGTCACTGAGGTTCCCTGGGGTCTCCTGTGTCCCCCCCCCATTTCTCCAACCTGGGGCTGGAGCCCCCTGATCCTGGCTTTGGGCTCTGCACAGCTTCACCCACCCGGCAGCCACTTCTCCTCTCCTTCCTCATACAAATCCCTTCGTGGGGGCCCTGCACGCCCTGCAGCACGCTGCCAGACTCTTTTTTTGTCACTGCTTTCATACAGTCTGCTAGGTGGATGAAAACAGAGGTCTATTTTCTGTAAAGATGTTGATACTAAAAGGAATAGCTGGGTCAGTGTGGGCGTTGGGTGAGAACAGACTTACTCATACAGGGCGATATTTTGTTGCTTCGGGTTTGAAAGCAAAATTTTTAGACAGATTTGTTCACAAAGTGCTGTAAATAAATAGGCTGAAGAGGAGAGAAGAGGGCAGCCATGAGCTGAGGAAATGCGTGACGGTGTTTGCTCTCCCGTGCAAGGTGAGGATGAAAAAAAACAGTGTGAAGGAATACAGCTTTTGGGGAGAGATGAGACCAGTTCTCTACGTCATGCTTAGTAAAAATGCTCAAAGGGGATCTCAGATAAAATCGCTGAGCAAAGGCTCTGTTGTGTGGCAGGGAGAGGTGGTGGCCACCACTCCTTGCATGCCCTTCCAGCTGTGCTGGGAGCAGAGCACAGAAACCCGGTGACATGGGTGCTGTGGGGGTGTCCTGGGCCAGGCTGGGGCAAGGGTGGTGGGCTGGGATTCTGGAGATCCCAGTGCCCCCGGTGGGTGGGTGCCCCCATGGCTCCATGTACCCACAGTCTGGGTATCTCAGGCTCTCCAGCACCCAAAGGTGCAGGGTTAATCCTCATGCGGGATATACCCGAGCCTTCTGGTATGGGCAGATCCCATGTTACCTTGCAAGTCAGCCAAGCATTGCCCTGTTGCTGTTTCAGGGCGATATTTCCATTCCCCTCAGCCCTGCTGAGCAGGTGACATCCCACAGCCCCCACACCGCATGCCCCGGCCCCAGCTCGGAGGCTCCCCTGCACCCCAGGGTGCGAGCAGCCCTGCTGCGGGGTGCAAAGGGGGCACCTGTGGGGAGGCAAGGCTGGCGAGCTCCTCTGCTTTCCCCTGGGCTCTGTCGTAGCAGACCTTCCTCCCGCGGGGAGCCTGCGGTTTGTTCAGCAGCAGAGAGCTCCCCTGGGGCAGGGCGATCCTGCAGCATACTCGCACCGCTGGTGGGGACCCAGGCCACCGGTGGGGGGACTGGGGCAGACTGGAGCTTTCAATAATGTATTTTTCTCTTCCCACTTTTCAGCGTGGAAATGCTCTGAAGACGCAAGTGATTTGGGAACAGGAGGAAGTTGTCCGGAGACAAATTTGTGAAGGTCTTTGTTTGTTCCTCAGTAGCTTCAGCGGGTCAATACCAACACCATGATCTCCGTACACCTGTAGTGATGTTAAACAGTGCAGCCTGACCTTTGCTTGGCCTTAAAGAAGACATAGATGGCTAATTTCAACTAGAAGCTGAAGATGAGCCACCATGATAAAGGGCAACGAGATGAGCAAGAGATACTCTCGCATGCTTACTCTTTATGAAAACACCTCAAACATAACTGGAAACCAGGAGTGGTAGCACAGACGATGGCAGATAAGCGCTGTATCTCACCCCCACCCCTCAGCAGACTGTCAGCACCTCAGGCTGATAACGACGGGCAGCTCCGAGGTGCTGGTGCCTTGGAAATGGGTGCTTGTCCCAGCCCGATGGGGACACCCAGCCAGGCCTCCTGCCACCAAAGCGTGCCTCAGTGTCCCTTCCTTCAGCAGCTCCTTGGCCACTGCTCTTGTTTCTTCCCAGAGCCAGGACCAGAGCTGGACGTCCTCCCAGGACCTGTTCCCTCATCGCCCTGGGCCTGTCTTCAGCCTTGGAGGAGGCTGCAAAGGGCACCGCTGGGCTCTGAGGGCTGCGTTTTGTAGCTCCAGACACAGAGCAGGCGTGGGCCCGAGCACAGTGACAAAATCAGGAGGCAGCTTCCTCCCCGAGGCCTCCCTCACGTGGGGCTTGCCTCTGAGCACGTCGGGGAGGGCTCAGAGCCGTTCTCCTGTGTGTCTGGCTGACGGCCTAACTCCTCCGTGCCTCCTTCCTTCACGTTACACCCCGTCCTGCCCTGGGGCCTCTGCCCTGGCTTCTGTGAGGCTGGAGCTGGGTCCTGCCCCTGCAGCTGAAGCTGCGGGATTTCAGGTGGTGTTATTGAACCTTTGAGGGTTCTTGTCCATGGCGTACGTATGTGCGATGACGTAGCTGCCCAGCACTTCGAGTAACATCGAGGGACTGTACGTGTGACCTGCTGACTCTGAAGGAATATGTGAAAGATTCACTGCATCATTTTAAATTTTCAGTAGTTGGTAGGAAAATAAACGCTCTCTCCTCACCCCACCTTCTTATTTTTAGCAGCAAACTTCCTGCTGAGGAAAAAAAAATATATATTTCACACCATTGAGGGGATTGGTTTTGATCAAAAACCTGGCTCTGCTCCAGGTAGCTGATCAGTGTTTGCCACTACCTGAGAGATGAATCACAACGATCTCGTTTCCTTGTCTGCCGATGCCAGAAGTAGTTGCTGCTCTTGCAGGGACAGAAGCGGGGCCCGGGGAGCTTGCAGCTGCTGCTGTTGGCCAACGCTGGCCGTCCCCATGAGGACACGCTGTCCCCAGGGCCACCGGGGTCATACGGGACAGGAAGGCACGTTGTGCAAGGGACGCAGACAGGGATCAGAACGGAGCAGGACCAAGCAGTTTTGTATAATAGACCATTTTGTTCATGCCCCTACTTTTCTTATGACAAGGATTGTGAGTTAGAGTAGATATTTTTCCACGTGTGTACTACCAGTACTGGTAAACCTGTTCTCAGTGTAGTGGAAGCTAACCATAGCCTTCTATTGGCCACGTAGGCTTTGCAGTTTGCTATATTTCCAGTCTGTTGGTACCCCAGGTGTGCTAGGCCTTCGAGCAAAGCCTAGATATTGCCTTGGTGATGTTTCAGAGCTGTTCTGTTTGCTTCCAACCTGCTGGTGGCCTGTGCTGGGGGACATACGGATGTCTCTGTCCCAGCACCCCAAAGCCCCTGCAGCACTGAGCCTGGAGGTAACCCCAGGAGGTAAGGGAGAGCTTCAGCCTTCCCTCTGGGAGCATTAGGTCCCGTTGGAAGCTGCACTACATGAGTCCTGGACTGACTCCATTTGTAGTGCCTGCTCCAAAGCCTGGCTGCGATGTCTCTTCCGTGGTTTAAGTGGAGGCTGCCCTTGCCCCAGCTGCCTTTCAGACCTCACGGGTCAGACCTTGTTATCAGGAGCTGGTGTTAAGCTGCATGATTTAGAAATGCAAAGCTCTTTGTGAGAAATCAGGTGATGGTAGTGTTTTTCTAAGAATTGGGATTGGGGTCATCAGAGGGTTGTCAGGATTTCCTGCTGTGGTGCTTGGAACGACCAGTGTTGGCACAGCTAGTCGCTTAGTGCTCACGAGTGCCAAATTAGTAAAGGACCAAGCATTAATCTTGCTTGATCCTGTGGTTAGATGAAGTCTGCTGAGTGCTTGCTGTAAAATCAGAGACTTTGAGCAAGGACATTTGCAGCACAGGTTAAGGCAATGATGACTGATTGGTAATTTAAACTCAGCTGTAAAAGTAGCGTGCCCAGGAGCATTAAAGCAAGCTGTTAAGTGTGGGTAAGGTGCTGGCAGTGGGAAGCTGTCAGCAGGTTGTAGAGAGGGTGTGCGGGATGTGCTGATCATAGGAGTTGGGGTCAGCATTGCAAAAGATTCAGGAAATGACTTTTCAACTCAGGGGAAAAGAAACTTGGCACTGTCAAGAAATGAACTTGGTAGTCCAGCCTCAAAATACTGAATTGCTTGGAGTGGAGAAGAAGATTTTGTTGCTTCAGGGTGTGATGAAATGGTGGAGGGAAGCTGTCAAGAGGCAAAGGGTAGCACAGCACGGAAAGCAGAGGTGTGAAATGAGAACAGGCAACTGAATTACCATCCCTAGCCAACCAAGGTTTTGTACTGACTTTGTGGGCTGGGATCTCCATCTCCTCAATCAGAAAGCCTAGGGAAGCACTCAGACTTGGGAATCCAAAGAGTTGATGTGGCTGGGAACTTGTCTGGTGATTTTCCTTCCTTCCACTGTATTGTTGTCTAACCAGGTGAGTCACTGCACCTGAACTGTGCTCTGACCCTTTCACAAAATAATGGGTTAACAGTTGGAATGGGACAAAAAAAGGTCACGGGGTGCATCTCTCTGTCCTATGTCAGCCTGCTGCTCACCCTGACAGCTCCTGTAAACCACCTGGGGCTCGGTTTCGACACCAAACGCTGAATCCTCCCCGAACCCTCAGGATGTATCAGGATAAAGTGATTTAGAGCTAAAAAGAAAGCAAGTGGCTGCTGTTCCTGTTAGGTGGCTGCTTTGCCAGCCTGCCTCTGGTCTCTGTATTGCTGAGGGTAACCAGCCCTTAGTCATTGTGAAACCACCTGCGTGCGGAGGAGACGGCGTGCTGGGCGCCGCTGCGGGGCGGGCGCCGGGGGCTCGGCGGGCGTGCAGGGCCCGGCACGCCGCATGGGAAAGGAGCTTCGCTGAAAGCGGGCGCCTTGCTGAGAACCGGCCCCTTCGCTCCCGAAGCTCCCCGCACAACCCCCGTGCACCAGCCGCAGGTGTGCTGGGAGGAATCGCTTCGCTTTGCACATCCCGTGGCTCCTTTTATCCGGCTGTTTTGCTCACGATTTGCCGTCTGCTCTGCGCGGTTTCTGGGGCAGCAGCAGAAGCTGTGCAGGGGCTCCTACAGCCTGGTGTGTTGGGGTTGATGCCCGTCTCCACCGACTGTGTGCGTCCCTTGGGCATGAGAGCCTGAGACGGAGCGCAGGAGGCAGCGGTGGTGCTGCTCCTTTCTGCTTCCCCATGTTTACAGTAGCACTGCACATGGAAAAGGACATGGGTGGCTCTTCAAGCTTTATTACAGTGGAGCTTTGCTGGTAAACAGTAATTATGGAGAAACAAAATGGAAATGGCCAGGTGCAGGGCTTTACCAATGACTGACATGCTTGTTTTCTGATAGGGGTGTTTCATGGGGTGTTAACGCACATTTTTCTTTTTTTTTTTTCTTTTTTTTTTTTTTTCTTCTTGCCTTGCTGTGGAGGAATAGAGGAGTTTGTGACAGGAACCCACAGAGCTCAGAAAAGGGCTAAGACACAGTCTGCTGCACAGTGTTAGAGGAGAAACCCTGCTGTTGGGGCAGCTGGTGAAATCTTTCCTCCCAAAATTTTTGCCCTCAAATCTCAAAGTCTACAGAAAACGGATGGCTTGGGCTTTTGCAGGGCACAAGGTGACACTTGAGCTGTTTGAATTCCCAAGCGAGGAGTGAGGCTTGTGCCTACAGAGCCTGGAGCTGTGTGGGGTGCCTGGTATGCAGGGCCCTGTCTCCAGGCAGGCATCTGCCTGCACACGCCGGAGCAAACATCACCGGTCCTTGGGAGCAGCAGCATCCACTCGTATGTCACCCCTGCAAGAGCCCTGCTCGTCACCCCACTGAGACCGAGAGTGAAAAGGCAGCTCGTAATCCCGAGAGCGGGCAGGGCTGCTACAGGGACAGCCCCATGCGTCAGACCCCACGCCACAGGGTGTAGCACCACCGCCCGTGCAAGCCTCTCGCTATGAGACAGCCGGAGCCGCTGCTCCTCCATCTTACGGGTAATGCCGGAGCACAGATGAATAGGCGTTGAGCTTAGATTTCACTTGTCGAAATACTGAAAGTGGAGCCTCACAGAGCGGGGTGGGATTGGTGCCTGCTCGTAGGCTTTGCCCTATCTCGAAAAGGATGCTCGGGTCTCGTGCACGTACACCGCTGGCTCTGCAGAATGCTGGCACTGGAGATAAGGATGAGCCCTTCCCAGAAACCAGGCGCTGAGCACTAGCAGCATGGTGCCATTCTGCTGCTGGCTTTAGTAACCCCGCTGCACCACAGGCGAGCCAGGCTCTTGCCACCACAGCACAAATAAGAAAGTGCCAGCCCGTGAGCCCCGCGCCCGCTTCCTCCAGTGCCGCGTGTGCTGTGCTGGGGCGTCCTGCTCAGCGCTCTCACTGCTCCTGACCTCTTTCATGACAAAAACCCCATTTTCAGGGTCACGTGGTGCTGAAATCTAGGGCGCAGAGAGTCATTAGTGGCCTGACTTGTTAAAAAAGTTAAATAACAAGTGTTCACTGTAACCACAGCAGAAATCAGGAAAGATCTGAAAGCTTCTGCAATTTTAAAAATGTTACAAGCAGTGCTTGTTTCATTTGGATTTGTCCAGTTAGGGCTTCAGCGCCATTGTACCACCAAAAGGAAGTTTTCTGAAGCGAAAAAAAAAAAAAAAGCAGAAGAAACTGCTCCTTCAGGAGGCAGATGCTCTCTGATGAGTTGCCACTCTTGGCATGTTCCTTATTTCAAGTGAAATTTATAGCCACGAGCAGCTAACGCTCGGGCACTTCTGAAGTCCTCAGGAGCTTTATCCCTGTGTGCATTTGCTCATGCAAGAGTTGCAGTGATGTGACTGAAGTGCTATTGAAACCACTGACCTGTCTGTGCAAACCCTGCATGTGTGCTCTGTGTGTTTTCTGCCTGGGCTCTGCGTTCTCCCAGAACTGGGCATCTCTCTGATGAACGCCGTGGAAGGACACGGTGACTGCCTCCATCACGGCACCTTGCGGAGAGCAGAGAGCTGCCGGTGCTGGGCTGGCGAGCCCGTTCCCGTGCCCGCTGGCAGTGATTCATCTGCTGCGGCTCAGCTGGTTTCACCGTGAAAATCCCTGCCTACGTGATGGCAGGGTTGTGCAAGCCTGGACTTCTGCGGCCCCGCTGCGCTGTTCCTGTCCTGGTCCCGTGCCATGGCGTGTGCCCTGCGTTCATGGGGCTGCAGGGAGCAGGCGGCTCGGAGCAGGGGCTGGGCTTCTGCTGAGCAGCCGCCGGCTGGACTTTTTAAAGAGGGAAATAAGAAATTGGGAGCTTGTTTTTGGCTTTACCCCCTGAAGGAAGGGGGTGCCTCTGGAGGATGGGTCATGGTGGGAGCCAGGTGTGGGTTTTTGTGCTGCGTTACAGCAGGCTGGATCAGCCGCAGCACTCCTGCTGGGTTCGTGGTCTGGCCAGATCCTGACCCCTGGCTTGCTTCATGCTTTGGGAGCTGAAGGTCTGGTAAACCTCCCCTGGTTGTAGACCAGATCTCCAGTTCTTTTCCTCCAGGGTTTATATATGTATATTAAATATATATTTAACCCTAGAAGTGGTTTAACTATGTGCAACCCACACCAGACCGAAATCTCTGCAGCCCCCTGTTGCCAGCCAGGAGGTGCGGCGCTGGGCCTGGTGAGCAGCTCGGGCTCCTTTGGGTGAGCAGTCGGCACGTGGCTGACTCAGGCTCCCAGGTAGCGGGGCTGCGTGTCAGGAAGCCGCTCAGGCGGCGGGGTAAGCTATCAGGAAGGAGTTACCCAGCAAGGAAATCATTTCCTTCTGTGGGATTAAAAAAAAAAAAAAAAAAAAGAAAGAAACAACAAAGAGAAAACCGCCATCTCTGAGATCTGTGAGAGTCCTGCGCTGTTACTGTAACACGCAGACTGACGCTGAGATTGGCAGGAACTACCTCAGCACTACGTGGTGTGGGATAACGTGCCGCTGCCTCTGGCGCAGCAGATTTCGGGGTGCACGAGCAGCACTTTTGCTGAGCCCAGCACAACCCTACGGGGCTGCTCCCTGCCCCCATCCCAGGGCTAGGTTTTGTGCACCAGAGATTAAGAAGCGATGGATGGAACAGAGACACAGGGAGGGACACATTCGTGAGGGTGAATTCAGCTGAACAGGGCTGCGGGTAGAGAGATCCATGCTGAAGGCATCTCTGAGCTGCCGGCAGAGCCTGGATTTGGCCTGCTGGGGGACATTGCCTTCACAGTCTGAGTTTGCTTTGTTTGTGCCAAATGGTGTGCAGGGAGCGCTGTCCTGTTTGGGTTTGCAGAGGGGGTGCAGTGCCCAGGGCCTCGTCCTGCGCTCACCTGGCCCCGGTGCCGTGCCCTGGGCTCGCTGCTCCGCTCATCTCACACCAGCTCCAACTTCATGGAGCTCATGCTGCGATGCCATCCCTCCGCCATGGTAAAAAAACTTATTTTATTGTCTTTTTCCCCCCTCAAACACTGATGGTTTTGGTGTGTGCTGGTTGACGCTGGGACTCACAGTGTCTCTGCAGGGTGGCCGCAGCAGCACCTGATGCACGCAGCAAAGCCAGGCCAGGACACAGCCCGGGTGGTGCTGCTCTGGGTCGTGAGCCACAGGGGATGGCTTGGAGCGGTGCCTCACTGCAGGCTGCCATGCAAAAACCTGGGGTTTTCTTTTTTCTTTTTATTTTTTCCCCTCCAGTTTTTATTTATTTTTAAGGTCATGCCTCCCAGGAGGGAGGGATAATTGTGACCTGAGCTGACCCTGCAGGGGCTGTCTGAGGACACAGCCAGAAGTGAATCACGGCGATCGCTCCCTCGCTGGCCGTTATTGCTTTATGACAGACGCTGGCTTTGGTTGCCCAGGCAACTTCTGCTGGGTTTTCCAGAACACCCTTCCTAAACCTTCTTGGAGATGAGGCATGCACTTAGTCATAGGTGTGTTTGTGTGCTTTTGTCTCCCGGGTCCATGTCATGATGCAAACCTCCCCGCGTTTTGGTGACAAATGGCACAGACGCGTTCACACACAGCATGGATGGAGACCTGGTGCTCGGTGCCCTGCCACTTGTTTCCCTCTCCCTTGAGTCAACCCATGCCTGGGAGCCCTGTGGCACCTTTCTGCCCCCTGCTTCCTCACCCAGTTTGGGAGGAGCAGGGCTGCACCTCCGCACTGGTGGCCCTGAGCAGCGTCCCTTGCAGGGTGCTGACCTCTCTGCCTCAGCCACTTTCTGCACCAAGTGGCTCCTGTAGCGCCAGGTAACTGGAAACCTTTGTTCTCCATACAGCAAGAGGCATCCCATCTGCTTCCTTCCTGTGGTTTCTCTAACCAGAGTGACTGTGCTTTACTGAAAAACTCACCACCTCTGAGCTGACTCTGCCTTTTCCCCAGGGCAGGGTGCTGAGCACCCATCTCGCTCACGAGGGCCCTCAGGCTCCTGCTCCAAGCTGGTGCCTCGGGTGCTGTCACCATGGAAGAAAAGTTGTGTAAAAGGGGTGAAAATGTAAACAGGGCAGGGCAGGGATGAGGCTTCAAGGCACTGGGCAGCTGTTGCCAGGAATGCAAGGAATCTCCTGGGTGAATAGAGCAGTCACACTGATTGACACTGGAGTGAAGTTTAGGCAGAAACTGGCTTTGAAATTGTCATGTTCAATATTCTTATTATAATACAGTGAGGAAAGAAACCCCAGCTGTCAGTGAGCACTCAGTGTTCTGGCTGGCAAGCAAAGATGTACAAGCAGTGAAAATACAAGAGGCTCTAAACTGAAACCAAAAGGTGCCGGGTGGGTGCCCCCCAGCAGCAGCCCCCGGTGAGAGCTGGGCTCTGGAAATGGCTGTGCCCGGGTTTGGTGGTGATGGAGCTGTGCCTTCGTGTGCGCACACCTTCCCCTCCTCGGTCAGGTCCTCTGCCGCTGTATGCACGTGGATGTGCATGGAGATGTGATCCCAAATTGGAGGAGAAGCGAGCAGGTCTGTCAGGTAACTAATATTAGCCTGAGAATGGAGCTGGTAGCTCCTGTCTGATCCAGGATCAAGGCCTCGTCCTGATGGAGAACAAATGCAAAGTTAAAAAGAGCTCAGTAGGCAGTGGTGCTCTCTGCTGTCAGTCAGGGGAGGGAGGGGCAGGGATGTTAGTGCTGGGGATTAGCAATGACATTTGGCACGTGAGCTGTTATTTAACTGTAAAAGCTGCTCCGAAAAGGGTGATTGCTGAAACGCCTTGTGAGAGTTAGAGGCTGAAGGGACACACACTGGGGCCAGCGTTTCTCCACTGTAACTCAGAGGCTAGGAAATCACTGGCAGATAGTTTGTTCTAGGGACTATTTCTGCCTTCTTGGAGATTTGCATTTAAATGTATGTCCCAGGGGTCGCCTTGCTTCCCTGCCCATTGGTGCATGCGTCCCCTGCGTGGTGGTCCTGCCTGCCCGGGTCTGTGCCCTGCTGGGCACGGCATCTGGACACTGCTGCCAGTCTACAGCGTGTTAACAGCTTGGAAGAACGGAAGAGAGGCTTTGTTCGTCATGAGGTCTTTATTAGCAAAAATAAAAGGTTTCTTTTCATACAGATCCACGTGGAGCAGTTGATGCAGTAACAGCAGTGTTACACCGAGGCGCAGTGTCTGTGCTGGTGCGCGCTGCAGCGCCGGGGCTGTGCTCAGCTCCCTGCCACCCTGAAGGCAAAGAGCTTGGTGGAGAAGCAGCGAGGAGCTGGCCAGAGCACCCAGTAAGAAGGTAATGTGGATTTTTGCAGCATCTGCCCCCAGCACTGCCCTGGAGCCAGTGGCACTGTGTTGAGCAGCACCCCTGCTGCGGGGCAGGACCTGCTGTGGTGCCAGGCACGCTGCCCGCAGGAATGCCCCCACACAGTGTCAAAAAGGAGTAAGTCGCATATAAATAGACCCTAGTCAGTGGTAACTTACAAATGACAGGAAAGCAAACAGCAAACTGACAGTGTTTCATCATACTGGTGCCCTGATACTTCTAAATATTAGAAGCAAATGCCTCGGGGTTATTGGATTTCCCTCTGGTTGGGGTCCTGCGGTGCACATGGGGCATGCAGGAGACTGGGGGCAAGGCGGGTGAGGACCCCTAAAACAAGAGTCTCACGGCGGGCAGTGGAGCCCCACTGCAGCTTCCTTCCCAGTCCCAGTCTGCTGCAGCTCCTCGTGCGGCCAGTTAGAAGCAAAACCGAATATTGCCAGCGCTGCGTGCAGCTTCAAGAATTTGAATGCAAATTACCCAAGCCACCTTAAAATGGTGGTTAATTAAATACCCTCTAGCTTCTAAAAAGAAAAAACAAACAGTAGGTAAAACCCAATCAAAGACTGGAAAATACTAAGGTTAATTCTTAAAAGTGCAGAGTGTCTGACCCAGCGGCTCTGGAAGCCAGTTGACAGCAACATTTAAGTCAAGTTCTATTAGAACCAAAAGCTTAATTCCTATCACTACTTTTCTTTAACCTGGACTAATTTATAGGCTGAAGTCAAGAGGTGGGTTTTAACCGAGCTATTGCTGAGGCATGGTCACATCACATTTGCTGGAGTGCACGACTTTCCTCGCAAGGGAGGAAGAATAACCCTGCCCTTGGTTAATTTTATGATTATTATTCTCAGTGCAAGGCCATGCTATAATTTGGAATATTTCAATGCCAAATTCCAACTGCAGAACCAGAGCTAGTGACATGGTTATGCGAGGAAACATTTGATTGCATAAATAAATAGCTGAATAGGAGCAGATAAATAAATAGGCAAGAATAGGAGCAGAGCGCTCACGGGGTGTTTGCAATTAAACTTTGCTCAACTCAGAGCTGGAAGAGCTCTTGACCGAGCGACCATGCTCAGAGCAATTGCACTCAGGATAAACTCAGCTCATTTACCTGCTCGGCAGAAGAATGCTGCTTTGGGTGTTTTGAAGCTATGAATAAAATAGCGCTATCATAAACAGCATAAAATATTGAACAATAAATAGTAGTTTACAAGGTCATTATACTTCTCTCAAAATAAAAATGTGTAAACATGAACACTGAGGTATTAGAAATAATAAATATTAAATTCAATTAGTAAAAAAATAACTTTTAAATACAATACTAAACTTTAAGTTGCTATTGACCTGTAATTCCTGACCTGAGCCCTAGCATAACTTAGTCTCTCAGCCTAATGTGATTTCTGAAGAAGTAGCAGGACTTGGTGTGGCAGCCGCCCCGCGGGCGCTTTCACTTCCTCCTCTTCATCAGCAAGTATTCTTCAATGTAGTTGATGAAAATGTCAAACTCCCCCATCGCCTTGTAGATGCCGTTCTCGTTCATCTGCAGGTGGAAGTTGGTGGGTTTTAATTCACTGGTTCCGCTCTGCAGCGCTGCAGTTCAAGCGCGTACGCGATGCAGAATCCCTAGAAATGTTCTCTTTCCACCGAAAGCTCCAGTTTCTCTCTCCCCACCCACTCACGGAAACACAGCAGCTGCTCCTTTGAGCCTCGCTCGCTGGATTTCTCCGTATTAAGCATTCACATAATCAAAGGCTTCTGCCTGTGGGGCTCCTGACGCCTGCCCTGATGTGTGAGGACAGCGGTAAACCCCACTGACCCGCCCGAGCAAGGCACCCACCTTTTCAAACGTCTCCTTAATCTGCTTTATGGTTTTGCTCCTCTTCTCGCACGTGAGGAACCTGTGCTGCAAAGGGAAGGAGACCACGGCTTTAACTCAGCAGTTTTCCTTCCTGGTGCGGGTCCCTCGTCACTGCCGCCGCGGGTCTCCACCTTCCCCGTGCGTGCCCGAGCTTTTCCTCCGGGCTCCCGCAGTTGGCACCGGGGCTGCCTCGTGCCGTGTGCTGAGATCGGAGCCCACCAAGACCCCGTGTCAGCCCCGTGCTCTCCCTCCCTCCCTCCAGCCCCAGGGCTCGGCGAGGGCAGGGTTGGTCCCGTCTGACTCAGTCTGCGTCTGGGGACGGGGTCACGGCCGAGGGAGCGAGAGGCGGCATCACCGAGCCGGCAGTCAGGTAAGGGACAGATCCCCCTGCCCCCCACCCGCTGTTTCTTCACCCAGGTTTTGTCAGGCTGCAGATAAAGGGTGCTTCTGGGCATCTCTGCTGTTGTACTGGTTGTCTAACGGAGAGCATCCTTGTGCAGTCTGTGCCGTGCAGCACCAGACCCTGCCCCTCCCCAGGCATCCCCACCTGGCTCCTGCCCCAATTTTCCTGCCCGTGGGGACACCCAGCTCCCACCCCCTGCCTTGCTGCTGGTCTGGGACCAGCCCCGCTCCCCCAAGTGCCCGATTGCGCCCCGTGCCGCGGTGCTGAGCCCACTCACACAGCGCCTCATCATCGCCTTCAGGCTCAGCAGCAGGTTGCCCAGGTCGCCCACACTCTGCTGGTGGTGCTCGCTGCTCCTGAGGGCGCTGGGCAGGACCTCCTCCATGTAGAACCGCATCATCTCCAGCACCGACTGGCAGCCGAAGTTCCCCTGGGGTGAGAGGAAGGGGCTGTGTTGGTGGCAGCACAAACTGGTGCCTTTATGGTGGTCAGAGAGCTCGCAGCACGGGGGTGGCCGTGTGCCAGCCCTGCCGCAGCCAGCTGGAGAGCCGACGCTGGGGAATGCCCCCGCCTAGGGTCGGTTTTTCTTACAAAACACAGGCTGAAGGATGGAGGGCAGTGGGCTTAGGTGAGAATTATGATTCTTACCTTAAATTCCTCCAGCAGATCGGAGCTGAGCAGCTGAATGCTAAGTTCATCGTCTTGGGATTGCTGTAGGAGAATGCAAGAGAAAGATGAGCTTTTTGGAGGCAGGCAGTACCGCTCCCCCTGCGCTGCACCGAGGGGTTGTTCTGCGTGTTTGCGTTTATGGTCTCACCGTGGTGAGGCACACAGCACCCTTCGGTTTCTAGCTCAGTAATGCAAAGTACAGAAATCCCTGTTTGTTTGTTTTGGTTTCTTTTTTTTTGGTGGGGCTGAGGCAGCAAGCTCACAAAATCTCGAATGCCAGTTTGATTTTTCCGTTAGATTTCATTAACCACACCACCCCGCTCCCCAGATAGGTGTCAAAGTTACGGCTCTCCACGCAGCCTGGCTGCTCGTGTGCTCCTGGGGACAGGACGGTTCCAGCCCTCTGATGGTGACCTGAGGGTCCCCAAACATTGGGGCACCGGGCACCCCAAGGGGGCTTTGCCTCGTGGTGCTGCTGCTGCGCCTTCAGCTCCGGGGGGCTGGGGCAGTGCAGGGGGTGAGCTGACAGTGCCCAAAGCATTGCCCTGTGGCACTCGGAAGCTTTTCTGAGAGGTGAACATTCATTCCTAACATCAACTGAAAGGTTTACAGCCGGCTTGAAGTCTTAAATCCCCCCAGCAGTGTTCATTTGATACAAACCACGGCATCAGTCTGGGTTCGAACCCGGAGAGTTCTCTCATTTTATTGCTAAATCATACTGACATCAACTAAAATAGTAACCTGGGTGTGAGCAACCACCCCTGTCAGCCCCGTGCAGAGGCAGATGGATGCTCTGAGTGCCTCGTGCTGCTCCCCTGTGCCCCCGTCCCTGCAGCGCGGAGCTGTGACCTTTCACAGGCACCCGACCAGGCGCCCCTTGCTGTCGGGTGCCCCGGTCCTTTGGTCGTGCTTCTGCGGCTCTTTCAAAGAAAAGTCGGTAGCAAAAGATTTCCCTTTTTGTCTAGTATTGGTTTCAGAAGGGCTGGACCTTGTGGCCCTGAGGAAGAGTCTGGTCCCTTCCTACTAATTCAGTGAATAATTTGCTCTGCAGCGTTCAGGGGGAAGTCTGCCCGGCGAGGTCTACAGGGTTCATTATGAAATTGCTCAAGTTCATTACAACTAAAACTAGGAAGAAAAACCTTGCGTATTGTCTCTCAGCAAGCAGCAAAACAACTTCTCTTGCTTGCATGCAGCAGCCCATGACACCAAGCACAACCAAATAATTTCTGCCCAGGGGAAGCTGCTGTCCCCTCATCCAAATCACTGAACTCTGAGAAGAAAAAAAGAGAGACAAGGAGAGACAAACCGGTGTCATACTTACAAAGTAGTCTTTAATCTCCTCGAACTTCATCCTCAGCTCCTTCAGCTTCGCTGGTAGGAGGTCAGACAAGTGGAGGCAGCTGGGGTCGGTGAGCAAGCACCTGGCAGGCTGGGTGCTGGCCGCCAGGAGCAGCAGCAGTGCCACGCAGCAGGTTCTCATGCTGTGAGGATGAGTTCCTTTCCTCTTAGTCCAGCTCTCGGTTGAATTTCACTGGAGGGTAAAATGCAGATCTGCAGTCTTCACCTTGATGGAGCCCCTCATTTATACTCTCAAAACATCTCTCAGTTTCCTCTCCCCGCTTCCTGACGAGCAATATTAGGGTTATAAGTCATTCATTAAAAGCAAATGTCACTTGGGTTTCCCGTCAACTTGGGTTTCCTGTTCTCTTGACCCCCCTCCCCTCCTCACACCCCATCAAATCTTTTGTGCTTAGACTCTGCATTTTTTTTTCATTGCTTGCTTCTTGTAAATTTAAATGTGGCTAAAGAGGAAAGCTTCAGATACAATGCGAAGAAGAAAAGGTGCTGTGTGAGGTTACTTCTGCATTCTCACAGCCACTCTTTTATTTTTAGAAGAATGCTGTGAGGCAAAAAGTGTTTCTATTTTTAAATCTCCAAGTCAAGCCTCCACGCAGGATCACCAGCACTGTGGATAATGCAGCAGCATTGCTTTCAGTGAACTTGTTCAAATACATTGTCTCCTCATTTATCACCCCAATGCAAATACATGGCACTCTTAAATCTTTTTCTGTTTATTATCCAGATAATGCTTATGTCTGCTGACATCGACATGAATTTGTACAGGCTCCGGCAAGCTCAGGAGCATGCTCCAAGCTCCAGCTGGGATTTCACCTGGGCACTAACATGATCAGTCCTGTGCATTGGGGATGTGCTGGGGGAGCCCAGCCTGGCTCAGGCTGTGCCGCTGCTCGTGCCCCATGCAGGGGAGAGGAGCTGGAGCTTGGAGCTTGGTGCTAGGGCTCTCTCCTGCCACTTCCCCACCAATAATGAGAGAATCAGTCTCTTTTTAAGGTGTTTCTTAGCAGCAGCCTGTGATTTTAATTGGGTTTGTGTCATGGGAGCAGCTGTTTGCACACCGGTGTGTGGTGCCCAAGTGTCCAAGCAGGTCACGAACATTTTTGTTTCTGGTTCTTGAATCTTATTGTATTTCCTAGAAATAGACAGTAACTTCGTCCAAGCCACCCAGCGCTGGCTCCATGAACTGGATGTGCTCTGCTAACCGAGACTCATTGTCCCAGCTGATAAAACTACCATTTCGGTGCTGAAGATAACTCCTCTGACGTCTCTCTTTTCCGTTTTCCTCTCCTTCACACTCTCTTTCTACATATTTCTATACACACAGGGCCCTGCTTCCTCACGATAAAGATTTCTGCAACAAATCTGTTGCTCAAGAAAGAGAAAGTGAAGATAAATTTGGCCTTAGGGTGACCATGGGGGTCCTTTGAAAGCTTTTCTGTTAGTCTGGAGCAGTGCATCCCTCCCAGCTGACCTCCGGGTTGCTGCTTTGGACACATCCCTTCAACTCTCACCTCCCTCACTGCACTGAGCCTCTTTTCGTGTGAGCCTGCAAACATCTGTGAATGAGCTAGTTGCAAAAAAATGCTGGAAAAATGCGAAGTATTATTTGTTGCCCTGTATTTATTTTTTTAGATGTTTTAAATTATTTTAGGAGCAAAAGAGAGGAATGTTCTGTGTCAGAGTATCCATGAGCAAGGGGAAAGTGATGCGTTATTAGTAATTGAAGGCCTTGAGGTAACTGCTCAATACAGTACTAGTGTGGGATTTTGTGTTCTGATTTGTTTACCCTTTGGTGTTATATTGCTGCTTTTCCAAGGGACACGAGGGAGAATCCTCCCGGTGAATTCTGCTCGTGAATCACTGCAGGGACACCAGAAGTTTTATGTGAATCACAGCATGTGTCATGAAGTCAGTCCCCGCTTTTCTTCCTCTGTTTGAATGCATCAGTAGTGCGGTTTCTTCCCTTGACCAGCAAGAGAAGCTGTGAGAAAGGAGAAGAAAGAGCAGCAAAAATGAGTAGCTTTGGACATAACCCGTTTCTACCGGTGCTTTCAACCCTGGCTCTCACACGGCGAGGTTTTAGTTTGGATTAACTCCAATCTGCCTCAGGTCAATGAGCTGCACGACCAGGACCTGGATGACTGCACAAATTTCACAGGGCCGTCGAAATTTCTGTGCTGGGGAACAGGGAAGGGGCAGGCTGCGATTCCCCAAGCACCTCGAGGTGGCCCCTGTGTGTGCAGGGTGCATCTGGTGCAATAGCAGTGAATTAAACCTGTGTGGATTGGTGCAATTTGGGGAACGATGCAGCCTCAGGACCTGCTTTGCAAACCTTGCCCCTGCTCTGGGGCGTTGCTTTTTGCTCTCAGGTCTTAGCTCTTGGTTGAGGTGCCGGCGCTGCTGGCGAGCATCAGCTCGCAGGGGGCCGCTGGGCAGCTCCATTTTGCTGCTCAGAGATGCAGGGAGCTCCAGCCCTGGTGCTGGCCAAGGGGCTCCTGGGCTGGGGTCATCTCCACGGCAGCCGCCTGCCTTCCTTCCTGCCCAGGAGCTGAGTTTTTTTTCCAAACCTCTCTTATTTTGGGCAACTGGTGGCTCTCCATGAAGTCATTTCAGCTCGACACCCTGACAATTCGGAGCGGTTCTCGCTCTTGTGCAATTCCCTCCTCCCTGTTTTGGAACCTGTGTTGTTTTTTTTGGTACACAGAGGGCGTAAGCCAGATGTGTCCATTCCACAAAGGAAACCGTCCTGCGCACGCACGGCACTCGGCTGTGTTTACCTGCGTTTCCTTCGCCGTGTCAGAGATCTTGACGGTGCAGTTTCGCTCTGACTCACCCTTGCTTACTGCTGTGGAAATGCATTGACTCTGCAGTACTACGAAGTGCTTGCATGAATGAATAAAGCACCTTTTCCTAAAGAGTGTCCGGGGACGTGGGTGTATTTCTAAACCTTTAGGAAACAGCTTTCACAGTTGCCAAGAAGATCGTTTCAGGAAGGAGCGCACGTTACTCAAAAGCCACTTGTACGCTTCTACCCCACCTCCCACAAGCTTCTGGGAGCTGCAGCTTTGAAAGAAGTACTCGGCAGGAGGGCAGGATTGCTCCCTGCAGTTGAAGCGAGGTGTTGAGGTGAACGCAGTGTGTGAGGAGAGGCTTCAGACATGCCCCTGGGCAGCCTGTCCCCGTGCCAACAGGGCTGGGGGCATTTCATGATCTCCAGCATCCCCCTGGAGCTGGTGGTGTTTTGTGCATCTCACCGGGTGCTGCCCATCCGTGAGGGTTTTCTCGTGCTGGCAAGCTTCCACAGGGGAAAGCTTTTCCTTTTATTTCCCCCTTTTTGGTCTCAGTCACCTTCTTCAGACAAGGGAACATTGTGTGTTTTATGTACTGTTGTAGATACAGCTTGAAGAATCCCCTAGATTTCCAGGCTGCCATCACGGTGTGTTTCTTTGTTTTCTTTCCCAAAATTTCCCATTTCTCATCCCTTCAGGTTCAGAACTGCTGTCTGTGACGTACTGGGGAAATGGGAGACTCTGTGGCCCTTCATTCACTGTACACGAAAGCAGCTTTGAAGCGATTTCATTTGCTCTCAGAAGCAGCACCCACTCTGATGACTAACAGTTCCTGATGGGTGAAACAAAGTGGACTGATTTTTTTTTTTTTTGACTTTTTTTTGCTGTCAATGCATGACGTTGGACTTTTCACTTCTGGAAACCTGCTTTCTAGCACTCTTGTCGGAATTTGCAATGTGACTCATATCAACCTCATATCAACAGGTAAATCCCAAATTGCTCTTTGGAAATTTAACCAATGTCATGAATTGTTTTGTCATGTAACATCTAAGTGTCCAGGAATAGGTTACTAATCATGAACGGAAGACATTGTTATGAATTCTAATACGACACATAGAAAGATCCTTACATAACATTTTCTTAGTAGGTCCATAACTTCCATCTGACATAACCCAAGCTGGAACCTTGACCTAAAATCCTTAGGTAACAGAGACTTCCTCTGGTCTATAGATTCATTTTTTTTCAATGATTAACTTAATGAAGAAATATTTGCATTTTTTAAATCACATAAATAAAACTTCCAATATTTGGAGCTTGCCATGTCTTGTTCAATTAGATCAGGGAACCGTCTCTCTCAAGTGGTAGATATAAGATTTTTCCAAGTAGACTCTAAACAGAATCACAAAATTGATATAATAGCATCTATTATTTATTATTATATATTATATATAATAATACAATGTACTATACATTATGCTACTATTATAAGATATAAGGATAGGGAACAGCATCCCTATTTCATGGCCCGCCAGTGGGTTTCAGGGTGCCCCCAGGTAATTCAGAAGATGGAGCTGTGCTAGCAGTGCCACCCTATTTCTGTCCTTACAGAAATGAAGGCGTGAGGAGTGTGTGCAGCCAACGGGGCTTCTTTGGAAGAAAGCAGTATGTTTGCAGGTAAGTTAAGAAGGTAAAAGTATGCAAAATACACTAAACGTGGTCCAGCTTGACATCCTTTTATCTTGAGCATCCTATTGAGCCAATTTTGAACAACTCTTTCTTCTACAGTTCATTTCACAACTGCTGGCTGATGAGTTTCTTTTTTCTACTCTTGGTATTACTGGGGTGTGTGGATTTTCTGGAGAAGATTGTCTCTGTCATGATTTAGCATCATCACTATGATCAATAATACAGAGAATAAACATTCATGGTTATGAATGGTCAGAAGAAAGAAACTGGTTATCACATTTTTCGGTGGCCTTGGGCACGGCGATGCCAAGACAAGTTCACAGCCCCGAGGCATGCCAGCTGCTGGGCTGAGAAGCAGTCAGTTGTGTTTTTTTTTATTATTATTATAATTTGCATGCCGCAGAGCGGTTGAGAAATCCCGGGCTTTCTTTTCCATCCCGTAAGACGCAGACCAGCACGTGCCAGGCGCTGAGGCAGCGTGGGCGCACGCGGTGCAGTCACCCGGCTGCCAGAGCCCCCGGGTTTCCCCCCACGTCCCCGCTGCTGCCACCAGCCTGAAACACTGGTGGGACAGCACGGTGGCCCATGGGGACTCCCCAGCACGCAGAGTGCTGCGAAGGCTCGGCACGGGTTTTGGGTGATGCGGTGGCAACGCCAGGAAGAATTAGGTCTGACATTTCTGAGCCCCCTCCGAAAAGCCAAGGCAAGAGAAATGAGTTTCGTAATGCAGGTTCCCAGACCGCTCACCCCCCAAGGCTGCTGCTCCTTCAGAGAAAAATGCAGTAAACCAGAATCACTCAAGTTCCCCCTGCCTTGCGTTTGGTTGTTTCCAGTTGATTTGTAATTAGCAGATGCTTTTCTATTCACATTTTCCAAAACGATGAAGGATGCCTCGGTCAGAAAGTGGCACCTCAACGCAGGGCTGTGCCACTGGCAGGAAGAGAAAGAAATATCTGAGTTTGATCTCACGTGCGTAAGCGGAGATTTTTGATAAAAAAAAATATTTGTTTACAACTCTCCATGTGCTCGGAGAACTGGTGGTGAAATCTGGATGTATAAAATACCTCCAGTGGTTAAATTTATTACTGAGTCAACATCTTAAAATCTATTTATTACTGCTAAAATATAAATTTTAGTTAATTTGTGGTTAATTCAAATTTTAATTGTTAAATATAAGATACCTCCTGGAAGGTATTTTAATTGCAAAGATGCAAAGGTGAAGTGAGCCTGGGTGCAGAGAACAGCAGCGTCCAGGGGTGGGAAGGGTGTCCTTGCGCTCCCGTTGCTGTTGGGAGCACAGAAGGGTGGGCTGAGGGAGCTGCCCCTCAGGGTGGGCTGTGGGCAGTGGGCTGAGGGAGCTGCCCCTGCCTTTGCTTGCACACCGTGCCCAGGAGTTGTCTTCTCATTGCAGCCAGTGGAAGATCCTCTTCAGCATCAGGATCAGGCGCTGAGGTCCCTTTTCCCTCTGGCTGCTCTCCGTGTCACTCGGGATGGCCGTAAGTAGGAAGTGGCAGATGAACCCGAATGTGGAAACCCCCCTCTCTGAAATTGGTGTTAAAAAAAAAAAAAGAAGAGGAAGGAAAAACAAAAAAAGGGAGAAAACAAGATTTGAAGCAAATGCCCTCTGCTAGATTTCTCTCCTGTTTCAGGGAAGAGGAGCCCTGCCATTTACCCGTTTATCAGCCTTTCCTTCTGGGTAGCAGCAGGTTTGCTGGAAATGGGATGTCCTGCGGGACGTCCCTGGCCCTGTGCCTGCGGCTCAGGGCTGGGCAGGACGGGAGCTGCAGCCCCGAGCATCCCGGCTCAGAGCCTGCCACTGCGGGGCCGGGGGCTTCGTGCACAGGAGCAGTGTGCTGTGAGGGACAGAGCCCGTCACTTTCCAGGTGTTTATGCCTCGAAGCCGGGCTGCCCTGGCACAGGGGCTGGGACAAACCCTGCGCTCTCTTGGGATGTGCAGGTCTGAGCCTTGCATGGAGGAATCATTCCTGATAAGCCTTCCAGGGGATGCAGAGCAGATTTGTTGGGTTTTTGCTGGTTTCCATCAAGAAATAACATCGGAGATGGGAGAGCCGAGGTGCTGCCAGGGGCTGGCAGAGGCCCTTTTGCTTTCCTCCCCTCCTGTGCTCTCTTCTCGAGCTGGGGCTGCCCTCACCCTGTGTCCGCGGGCTGACCCGCTCTGCTATCAGGCACAAAACCTCATGGTTGTGAAATTGAGACTGATTCCAGTCCCGAGTTAGTGCATGCTCAAGGCAATATTAACCCAGCGAAAACCGAAACTTGTCTTTAAGAGATGGGCTATGCACAGACTCCACAGCTAACTTACTGAAACATGTCTTTCAGTTTTGGTGAAAGGTGAATCGATGAGAGCTCTGCCTGGCTATCGGAGTGATTCATTTGCTCCCCAGATAATTCAAAAATGGAGCTAGTAGCAGTGAGCAGTCAGTTTCTCCTTTATTAGGCATCATTTAGTGCCTGCACCATCAGCACATTTCACCCTCCCGGACAAACCCCAGCTCCGTGGGACAGGCCGCTCCAGCGCTCGCCCAAATTCGAGGCCGAGCAGCTTTCTAAAAATGCTGCATCTGGCGGCTGGTCCCCTTCTCTCCTGGGCATTACAGATCATTTTAAAAGCTATGCCACTCAGAGCTATTGTCTGTCTGAAGCTCGCAAGGAGGGCAGGGGTGGTTTGGTATTTCACAGAGAAACAGCCCCTCTGGGTACAATTCCCTCACTGGCTGCACCTAGTGTATTTAGAGGTATTTGGTGAGCTATTGCTCATCCAGAAGTAGTGGTAATGAGCCCCAATAACCCTGTGTATGTGCTGGTTTATTTATTTATTTATTTTGTGTCATTTTCTTTTTAAATCTCTATTTGCTCCAGACAGAGCTTGATAAGCAATGCCACGTTCTGGGTCTGTTCATTTGAATTGTCAAAGTGAAGAACTTTTCTCTAGGGTTGGTTATTTTTATTCTTGTCTCCCCCTCAGATCTCCACCTCCTGCCACCAGCTGCCCCCTCCCCAAGGTGCTCACTTGCTCCTTCGGCAGCATCCCCACGGGAGCCCTCCAGGACTGCAGGAAGAAGAGAAACACTGCAATAAATGGTAATGCAAATAGCAACTGCAGCTCTAATTACAAGAGAGAAAAGGGATTAAAATTAGAACTGAGAATAGTAAACAAATCTAAATTCTGCAGGGAAGATGTGGGGGGCTTCTCGTGGGTTTTGAAAGTGGAAGTCAATTCTCTTCTGTCGTTTCTTGTGTTTGCTGAGCCCAGCTCTCTCCCTCGAGAAAGAGCTTTCAAGAAAGTTTCGTTTCTCTGCGCGGTGTTGGTCCTGCAGGCCACCGCCGCGCTGCCGACGCGGGTTGAGGTCACAGCTCCTCTTTGTCGTTTTTTTCCCCCGTACACTGGTGTCACCACTTGTTTACAGGAGCCCAATTATTAATGTGTTGAATGCCCACATCAAAAGACTTCCGAAACCTCCTGGAAACTGAAAAAGCCTCATTGGTAGAACCTGTGTTCAGTCTTGTTGGTAGATTTGAGTCTTTGAAATACGTGTGTTTGAGGGCTAGTGCCTAGCTCAGCACCACTGCCGGGCTTTGCATCATTTGTTAGTGGAAGCTTTCGTTTATCTTCAATAGCAAGGAAGCTCTTCTCAGGCACTTTTACCTCAATTTTTGCTGAAATGGCCAATTTCCCTAGCACAGCGGGGAAAAGGGAAAAAGCAAATCATCAATGTTCACTCTCTGGCTACGAAATCTTGCAGAAACGATCACAAGTGACTGGGTACCCGAGCAGGGTGACAGTGAAACCTTATGGAAAATTCCTCGACTGCTGCAGGTTCGGGAGGAAGACTTGCCAAGTGCAATTCGTTTCTCCATCCAATCCTCAGAGGGAGCAATCCCCAAAATTGCTGCTCCGGGCATGGCAAGGGCCCCTGCCTCGCAGGCACGGGGTGGTGGGCAGCTGGAACAAGCTAGCAGGAGCTACTCTTTAGCTGTGCTATGACACTGCAAAGACCTGAAATGTGCATTTCCTTTGAGGAAGATGCCATTTATGATAACCAAATTACGAGTTCACGTTTTTATCAAATCCGGGTAAGCAACTATTTAACCTCCAACACCCCCCACCCCCCTACACCGGTGACTAAATGAATGGTTTTCTGCAGAAGAGCTATGTCAGTGTACAAGATCCTCCACCACGCTTTCCTCCTTCCACAAAGATGAATCTTAGAGGGAAAAAGAAAAAAAAATTACTTTTTTTTTTTTTTTCTCTTTTTTTTTATATCCTCTTTGGGTAAAATCCTGGCCTGCTGGCAGCCCTGCCACCGGTGAGTCACACGCATGACATCGCATCTGCTCTGTGAAGGCGGTGGCTGAGGCAGTGGCACTTTCTGTGACGTGCAGCCCTGCGTAGCCACGAGCCGAGGATGTCCAGCGAGGCCAGCGTGAGCCCAGGGCCACTGCAGCGGCGAGGAGCTGCTCCCCGGGGACGGCCGTGGCTCTGTCCCCTTCCCAGTGCTGCTGGTAAATGGCAGAAGCAGCTCCAGAGGGACAGGAGGTGACATCTCCACCCAGGGGATGCTTTAAAGCACGGTGCTCAGATGTCTCAGGGCGGTGTCACACCTCGGGGTGCTCTCCTGGAGCCCCCCTGAGGCAACAACAGCCCCGGGCTGCCCCCGTAGGGGTCCTGGTCCCAGGCTCTTCCAGGCATCCGTGGAAAAGCAGCTCTGGAGAAGTTAAACCTGGGGAAAGAAGTGTGTTTGGCAAAGTGGAGCATCCGCAGCGTTAAGCAGGGCGTTTCCTTGCAGGGTGTTAGGGTAGCAGCTTTGGATGGAGGAAAATTAAGGTTTCAGGGCACCTTTCTCAGGTCTTGAGCCCCTCTCCTGAGCCCTTCCCGTCTGCCAGCCCCCCGCTGGAAATCCTGGCATCATCTGGGGTCTGGCACCATGGGCTTGGGGCTTTGCTTGTCCCTGGCCGAGCAGGAGCTGCGCCGGGTGAGGCTGAGCCGTGCCCAGGCTGCCGCTCCCCGACAGGCGGGACTCAGAGCTCGATTTTCAGAATTATTAAAGTGGTTATGGTTAGAAACGTGACTGAGAAGAGGGCACATAATGTACCACACCTAGCAGCCGATTATTCCTCACAGAGCCTTTTCTGAGTCATTTGATGAGTTTACCGAGAAAAACAATTTTCTACTTTTGTCAGCAGCATTGCAGAGCTGCGGCTGAGCAGGCGGCGAGGCTGCTCTGATAACAGGTCCCTGGTTTCTCTCGATAATGAACTGCACTAATTAAGAGACAGAACAGCCAGATTTAGGAGGTCGGGACAGGGCATGGCAACACGTTTCCACCACGAGCTGCAGCGTGCACCGGTGCAGAAGGTAATGGAAAGAGTGACACCGAGGCAGGGGCTGTCCTCAGGGCACCGGGGCAAACCCCTGCCTTTTGGGATCAGCACTTGTTCAAGTGGGGCTCGAGAAGGGCTCCAGGTTTGAGGGCCAGGTGGTTGCTTGACATTGAAACCGTTGTTTTTTCAGGGGCTGAGAACCACCCAGAGCTGCAGCACGGCTGCAATTAATCATCCCATCAGCTCCTGGCAATACCATGCTGCAGTACCCAAGGAATTTCTCTGGTGCATAAAAAGGAAGCCAATATGTTTTCCTCTGCCTGTGGAAATCCTTTGGCAAGGGTCTTGGTTAGCTACAGTATCACCAAGAGAGATGGTAAATCCTACCAACTACTGGTCTCCAACTTTTTTGTCAAGTGGCTGAGTTGGTTTTTGTGGATTTTCTGCTGAAGCATGTCATGAAGAGCTCCTCGAGCTCTGGTCTTTGCAGTTAAGTTTGGATTTTTTGATTTTTATTGTTTAATTAAAATTACTACAGGCATTTCTGTCATTCATGTTGTCTATTTCTGGGGATCTGTGTACAAACCATTATCAGCTTCAGATCTGAAATGCTGGAGCACCTAAAGCTGCTGTGAACTATGAGTAATATATTACAGAATGGCAAACCAAGGATGGTCTGCAACGCATTATCAGATCTCCTTACAGAATGAAACTACAGTGAGATGCACTGTTGAAACTGGTACCTTATCACTCTGAAATCCTTTACTGGAAATCTAGTGTTGATGTGTGTGTGTGTGGCCAGTTCATGACAGCACGGCTCCTATTCAGATCACGATGTCTTGCTGGCGGATGTTTTTTTTTGAAGTTATTTTATTGTTTGTTTGTTTGTTGGTAGTGAGATTTTTTTTTAATTTTTATTTTTGGATGAAATGAAAGTTTTTGGATATCTGAACAGCTGGTGGGTCAATGGTGGATCCCAGTGAGCAAGGCTCAGAGGCTGGCAGCACGTGGCATGTACAGGGATGGCTCTCCAGGGGGATGCTGCAGCCCCTGGGAGGGCTGCTTGCCACTTTTATTAATAACTCTGAGGCAAGCTAGTGGTGTCCAGGGCTTGTCTTCTTACTTTTTAATCCCCTATCATGGTGTCAGCCAGTTAACAGCCCTCTGTGCTGTGTGTTATTAAGTCACATCTACTTTTTGGGTGCCCCATCCCACCGTGCCTGCCATGAAAGCCCTGGGGAGGAGCCCCCCACTTGCTGCGGGCAGCCTGGGAGGATGGGGACAGGACCACGTCCCAGCGTGCAGCCGTACATGAAAGCCTTAATGATGCCAAAATGCCTCAGGGAGTCAGTTCCCAGCTGATCTCACCTGCGTTGTCACGCTGCCGTGGATCAGAAATCCCTGTTCCTTTCCTCTTCCTTCCCAGAGCGTATGAGACACAGCTTGCTGTTTTATTGGGGATGTTCTCCTGTTGCAGCTGGCATGCAGATGAGAGCCTCTCTTACGCATCTGTGTGGGGAAGGCTGAGCTGAGGTGATTTGCTTCAACCAGGAGCTGGTCCAACACCTGCTGAAATCCAGCCGTGCCCTCAGCTGTGCCCCATCTGCTCCAAAAGGCACACGCTGGGGACCCTCAGAGGTGCAGCACTGGCAATCAAACACCATCACTGTGCACGTACTTGAAAAAAACACTAAGAAAAGATGTGGATCCTGTCCCCCACCCTCCAGCATTGTTGTTCTCTCACTCGCTCTTGAGGCAAGGCTCACATTCTTGCTGCTGCTTTGTGAGTGGAAGCACAGCAAGGCCAAGGGACCCCCAGGTCCATGCTGAATATGTAGGGGAGCAAAGCCCTGAGCCCCCCAGTCCAACATCTCCCTCCTGTCCCCTTTTACCCCTTCATCTTCCCCCCAGTGGGCTGCTGGGCAGATTTTAACCCCTGACCGTGTCTTGCCTGCTGGTGTTTAGTGACCTGCCTTTAGGGCATCAGTTACCAAAAAGGAAGACATTCACTTACCAAACTGAAAAGAGAAATCCCTTCTTCTCATCTGCAATTTACATAATGAAGTAAGAACTCGCTGCCTCTTCCCTCATTTCCTCACCCGGGCTGGGTGTGCACCCGGCTGCCTGGGAAAGCTGCGGGGCCCTCGGGTGCCTCTTCCTCCGCTGCGAGCGCACCTTTTGCTGCAATTCCGTGCAGCAGCTGGGAATTTGGGGAGGAAGGCGCAGATTAGTGCCACGCGCTGCTGAGCACTCCAACACCTCGGCAAGAGCAAATGCAACCTGCTGCAGATATGGACCTGTCTTTTGGCTGTTTTCTTTGATAGTGCTAAGGCACGGGGCTGAGGGAGGCATGTTGGGTGCATTTGTGGTGATTTCAGCTGTATGCAATACTGTGACTAGCCCGGGCATAAAATCTATTTGCCTAGTGTTACTGTGATGATAGATATACTCTCAAGATTGAGCTCGGTTATCAATAAATTACTCATTCAGCAAAACTTGAAATAACAGCCCCCGTGCACAGACTTTCACACAGAAGACCTGCATTGCAACAGCCGTGTTCAGGCTCCTGCTCTGCCCCAGAGCATCGTGGCTGCATTGTGGGGCTGCAGGGACACCTCTGCCCCCTCTGGTCCCTCTGAGCATCCCTACTGGGTGTAGGGAGCCCGAGATTTTTTTTTTCTCACTGCTCATTTTTGTTTGCAGGCTGTACTTGGCTATGTCCAAAAGGGTTTCAGAAACAACCAACCTAACCTCGGAGCCAAAAGCCCGCTGAGCCCACCTGGGTTCTGCCCCCTTTGCATGACAGCATGTCCCAGCTGACAAACCCTGCTCCCAGGGGACTGTGTGCATCCAAAATGCCAGTGTGAGAGGGTGCCGGCTCTGCTCAAGGACCTTGGCTGCACCATCAGGTATTTCTCAGGTAATGGTCGCAGCGGTGTGAGCATGGACCTTGCAGCCAAAGTGTCTGCCTGCGGGTAGAACTGCCCTGCTGCCGCTGGGCTGGTTCATTTTAAAAGTTTGAGTGCAATTCATCCCCTTCTGCAGGCTGATAGCTTTGGTTTGTGTGTAGTGCTCACCTAAGTTACCAGTGCTCCTGAAAACCTAAGGACTTCTTGCAGCCCCGAGGTGGGAGCTGCTGTCCCAAAGCTCTGCCCTCTCAGACCCCGGCACACGCAGACAGAGGCGAGCATCCGCCCATCCCCACAGCAAGCCTGAGAGCAGGGTCCCCCAAAACCAGAAGATGAAGGTCCCACACACCAGGACAGCGGAGGAGAATGAACTCAGCAGCTTCCTGACTCCCCCTGTGATGACCAGGTGGCACCACCAGGACCGTGCCGGGGGACCCACGGCCCCGAGCGTGGTATGGAGGAGATGCCGCCCCCACCCCTCGGTCACGGCTTCCCAACCCCGGGCGGCAGCAATGCCAGGATTTCCCGCCTCCAGGTGTGAGGGAAACACCTCTGGGTGAAAGAGTTGGAATTGCAAAGGGAAATCTATGCTGGGAAAAGCAAGAAAAGTCCCAAAAGTTAATCCGAGAGCTATTTCCTCCCGGTACCTGGATAAAAACGCGTTCTTCGGAGCTCTCCAGGTCAGACATTAAGACGGGAGAACCCGTGGCAAAGAAGGTAAGGTACTGGTTTTGTTCTTCTGCTGCACGTCCATTTTATCTCCTGGCTCTCCTATACTGAGCTGCTGTGAAGTTTTTATTTATGAATAGCCTTTACTTTCAGTGCTAACAAAACCTATGTTTGGAGTATTGGTGCTGTTTCAGAGAGAAAGCATTTTCCTTTGGGATCTGCTGCTTTTACTCACACTTACCTTCAGTCCAGCTGCCCAGTAGACTTTTAAATATCTAATTTATCTGTTCTTATTTTTCTGCTGAAAATTGTGGAGATGAGCTTTGTCTGTTTACATGCAATCTTTTACTGGCATTTTATTTTTTTCTTTCTTTCATGATCTTTTAGTAAATGCTTGTTCTTATATAACTTTTTTCTTTGGCACCTGGGGAAGAAAGAAGAAATAGTTAAGAGATACCAATCAGCATGCTGCTTTTACACATACATACCTGTATGTGTGCAACCAGTGCTATATAAAATGAGTGTATTTTCAGAAATATGGTTGTGTTGTTTAGCTTATGGCACATACATACAAACATACTTGTCAGATGTATTTACTCCTGTGACCCCAGCTAGTCTTTCACATATAAATCACGATGAGCTGAGCAATGAATGTTAAACAATTTGTTGGAAATCTTAATAAAAACTGTTTAATTGTTTTTCTTCTGTGGTTTTTAGAGGAGAGACAGTTGCAACCACAGGCTTGAGCAGGTCTCCCTGGCAGCAGCATGAAGGGCTCCCACTTGCTCCTCTGCCTCTACTCCGTGACTTGCTGGTTGAGTCTGATGCCGGCAGCCGAGAACAAAATCTTCCACTTTGGACCCTGCAGGATTTCAATGAGTGTCACCGAGATCAGGTCTGGCTTCACTGCAATTAAAGCAAACATCGTAAGTATTGCCACGGGCTCCTGGGGAGCTGGGGATCTGTGCAGCCAGCAGTTCCCAAAGCCCCGTGGAGCTGCTGCATCCATCACCACGTCTTCTCTTCCCATGCAGCAAGCCCGAGACCCCATCAGGACCCTGAGCATCCTGTCGCACCCGCAGTCTCTGCACAAGGTCAAGGTAGGCGCCCTTACTGTGCCTCCACTACTCTGACTAATTTTGACCAGCTCGCTTGCTAACACCAGTTATAACGAATGCCAGTTCAGAAGGGTTTGGAGAGTTGTAGCAGTGCCATTTCTAAGTTCCTGAGAAACACGGGCACTGACAGAAAGAGCAAGTCAGGGAGGATAAAGTGATGCGGATCACGTATGTGAAAAGAGGTGGGTGTCCTGCCACAGTTCCTGCGCGCTGTGGGCTCGCTGAGCTGGCTGCCTTTCTCTAGAAATGTGGGCAGCCGCCTGCTGGTGCTCGCCCTGCTCCCATTCCCTTCTGCCAGGTGGTCGTGGTGGCCCTTGGTTTCCTGAGAAATATAAACAAGGTCTTTGCAACTCTCACACCCCAAGGCACTAGGCATGGGCCACTGCTTCAGGCCTCTAACACCCAGCTACAAAATCAGCTGATTATTTTGGTGCTAAGGATGGATCTGGAAAATCAGCCTAAAAAAAACGTCTATTCGTGTTATCAATACATGCCAAGCAGGGCTGGAAAAGCTTTCCTGACACAGGACATCACACTGTCAGCTTCTGTGTTTAGTGTCAGAGACGGCTTGGTCTAGCTGTGGGGAAAAGGACGGGTGACTACGGGTTTGTAGAACTCTGGAAGACCTCTTAAAAGTACAATTTGTTACTTAAGTCTTCAGATCGATGCTGCATCATCCATAACCTCTTCAACTTCTACATGGACAAAGTCTTCAAGCACTGCCAGACCGAGGACTCATACATCAACCGGAAAATCAGCAGCATAGCCAACTCCTTCCTCAGCATCAAGAGGAAACTGGAGCAGTGTGTAAGTCGTGGCTGATGCTAACGTTCAGTTTCAGCTGTTAGTATCTGCTGTGTAAATAAACCTAAGTGCTTCGTAAGCTACAAAATATTTATAAAAAAAGGTTTTAACAAGAATGTGAAGAAGTATGATATGAATATTTCATGTTTCCACTAAGAAATTTTTGTATTTGCCCATTCATCAGCCAGCTCCCATGGTGGCTCTCAAAAACTGTCTCTGTCCACCCAAGTGTCCTAAGCTGAAGTCTGATTTAAGGACCCGCAGCCTTCTGCACAATTGAACAAGATCTCAGTGTATATTATACAATAGTTTAACTAGATAGCATAACTAGAAAGCAATTTCATATCTTTAAAAAATGACCCCCCCCCCCCCCCGCCTAATGAATTCAATTTTATTTTTCTAGCATAATCAAAACAAGTGCTTGTGTGGGCAGGAATCCACTGAGAAATTTAAGCAAATACTCGCGAACTACGAAGGGGTAAGCTGATGGTTATGTCCAGTTATTAATGCAGCCTTTCAGAGTCTCCTTAGGCTCTGTGGTACTCACTATCAGCCTGTTCCCTTATATCCCTTTCAGCTGAATATCACATCTGCAGCAATTAAATCCCTGGGCGAGCTGGACATCCTTCTGGACTGGATGGAGAAATCTCGTTAAAGCAGGAGGCAGGAACCATCCGCTAACGAGGTTGCTGGCAGGTTGCAGCCCCCGTGGTACATAGGACAATAACACCCTGTCCCAGAGCAGTCCCACTGGCTGCAGCTGAAGTTGGATCAGACTCCTGGTGTTTTGCTACCCATGTGAACAGGGAAATGTGCCAGCAGGGTCTTGCATCTCGATGGAAATACGGAGTTTGTTCCAATCAGCTTCGCACTCACATATCTGACTTCTACCAAAGGACACTTTACAAGGGAAAATTCTGTATTTCTCTTGCTTGCAGACATAAGCTATGATAATTTAATAAAAGTATTGTTTAAATTATAAACTCTTTGTATATTCATGAGTGCCAATGGCTGGTAGGAACTTCTCTGACACAGCTGATGCTACAGACAGTGCTCGCAAGTCTGCTTTCAGTCTTTTGAGACTGCTTCTGCTGCTGTGCTCTGGCTGAAAGTAGGTGCATTGTGTGAGAAAATAGGTCCTCACAGGTGCTGCAGGCCTAAGAAATCTGTGTTTCCTTTCCAGATGGTATTTTCTGCCTTATCAGTAGAAAAAAGTTTACTATGCAAAAAAAGTTTACTGTGTGGTTGCTGAATAGAAAAACCTTCTTGTGTGCATTATTGTAATTTACTGACACTCAGTAGCACATTTTGTGGAAGTCTGATGCACTTACTGTAAATAAACCCAATTTGAAACTGTGCTGCGTCTGTGTGTGTCAAAATTTTGAGGAATTACGTTTCTAGTCGGTGAAACTGTTTGAATTCAGCGTGGTGTCCTTTTGTAGCAGATGCAGTCCCTGCTGGCAGTGGCAGGCATTCAGATGTGCACAAGAGCCTGTGAGCACGTCCCTACATGCTAGTGATTAAAAAAAAGAAAAGAAAAGAAAAAGAAACCAACAAGTAATGTTGGGTTATTTTTATTTGTACGAGTTGTCAGCAAGTACAAGGCTTAGGAGCTCTTATTTCGTGTATTTTCAAGTGAAAGCAGACTGTTTGTGCATTTCCCTGTGTTCAGGAGTGATCAGGCTGGGGGTGTCTGGCTATGGCAGCAGCCCGTGTGTGCGTGGGCAGAGGCAGGGAGGGCACTGCCATCGGGTGCCTCCAGGAGGCTCCTTCACAGCCTGGTGCTGTTTCAGAAGGAGCTCCTTGTGCCCTCAAGGAGGAGCCAGCTCCTGCTGCGGCTTCACCCATTGCAGGCGGCGCCTGGCCAAGGACTCCTGGATCATGCCAGCATCCCTGCGCGAGGACAGCGTCTGCCACATCCAGCGCTGGAAAAATGAAGCAATGCAAAGGAGGAGGAGGAGGAGGAGAGCCTTCATCTGTCTTGAGACTTGACTGAGACCTGAGACCCAAACGCTCGTCAGCATTTGCCTGCATGTGCACATGCTTCTGGCTGAGCGGGATTTGGTGATTCACTTCAAAGAAAGAGCTCCTTGATTGCTCACTAACCTTGCTCAAATATTTGCTTATGCTCTTCACGGCCTTGCTTCCCTTCATTTCCTTTCCCATTACTAGGGTTTTGCAGTGTGACGTCCATTTGCCTTGGTGCCAGGGTGTGAATGGGTGAACACACGGCTCTCCCTGCTCTGTCAGTGTTCACGGAAGCTGATCTTTCAACATCAGCACCTCAAAATCAGCCATTTAAGGATGACAGATACTTTCCATGTTCCACAACCTTCTATTAACGAGAAAACATTATGAATGAAGTGGTGACACAGCTCCTCACCGACCAAAGGAAATCAGCAGTGTCACTGACTGGTGAAGGAGCTGGGGCTGCTTGGTGATGTCCGTGAGGACCTCTCCATTGATCAGGGTGGGCTTTGGTCCACAGCCTGGGGCAGAAGCTGGGTTCTGTTGCACATCCTCAGCCTGTGCTGTCACAATTACCATTATTTATCCGATTTCATTGACTTTGTAGCCTGTGCAGAGGGTCTTGTTCACATGCCTCACCCCTTGCAAAGGCATGCAGCAGGTGAGGGATGGGTCCCTCATGCACTGAGGTGCAGGAGCAGGGGGCCAGCAGCTGGGACCACAGCACAGTCACGGTCAGAGCTGGCGGGGGGGATGCTGCACCCATTCGTTTTGCCTCCTTCACTGCTCTCCAGGAGCTCAGCATCTCGCTCCCATGCAGGGGCAGTGCCGTGCAGGAGGAGCGGTGCTGAGGAAAGGACGCCTGCAGGCAGGTGGAGGAGGAAGCTACTTTCAAAAGGGAGAGAGAGTGGGGTTTTCTCCTCTTGGAAGTTTCGAAACCTTAGCATTCTCCTGCAGCTTTATTACTGCTCAGCCCCTGGGGACACTTTCCGAGCGCATGCCTTTCCTATTGCACCAGAATCATCCGCTCACTTCCAGCAACTGCGGGCAGGAGCAGACCTGTCCCGGCCCCTCTGCTTCTTGCAGCACCCGAGCCCCTTCCTACCATGCTACGGAGGGGATGCAGACCAGGGCAGCTGAGTTAGATCCTGATATCTGAGCTCCTGTGATAGCGATTGCTGTGCTGGAGGGAGAACAGCAAACCAAACTGCAGGGCTGGGAGGGGAAACAGAAATAAATACCAGCCGACCTGCTGCCCTCCTGCCTGTCCTGAGCCAAAACTGTCTCAGCTCATATTCCAGGGAGGTCCGTGATGCAGGAATAATTTGGCTATAGGGCTTTCATTCTTGATGAAAACTCTGTGTCTGTAGGGTAATGTGAACAACCACTGTCTGACCTTGATGATCTATTGTCCTGTTTTCACTTCAAAGTGTAGCTAATATTTTACTAAAGCAGAAGTGTGTTCATGGTGTTACTGCAAGGCTGTCGGCTTGGACTCCAGCCAGGGTAAGGATCCTTATTCTTTATATTTTATGGTTTGCTGTCAGAGATGCACGCAGCCCAGACAGACTCAGGGAATTTAATTTGTCTGTGCTGTTTCTGCCCTTTCTCGTCTGTCCCCATCTGCCTTTTATCAGCTGAGCAGGCACCACTCTGGTCCTTCCTTGTGACGTGCAGAAACTCTCATGTTCAGGGAAAATTGTTTCTCTGCTTTGTCACAACTTCTTCATCTTTGCTGCTTCCCAAATTGCTTTATCTGTGGGGTATTCAGCTTTCTGTACCAGCACCTGACTGACTGACAGCAATCCCTGTGCTACTGTTTCGAAAGCCACGCACCAATAAATCATTTTGCTCTGTTTGGTCACCCACTCTTGAGAATAAGACCAGGAGACCACACTTTTTTTAATTACAGCCATCATTGCTTCTGCTTGGACAAACACGAAACCAGCCGGGGGCAGCAATCACCGATGCCTGTTGCCTAATCCGTTATAGAGGCTGCTCAACAAGCCGTCGTATTAATTAATGCCATTCTGTGGTAAATTGCTGCTGTCGACGAAAATGCATATGAGGAACATTACTCAGAACGTTCCCCACTCTTCTCCATTGCCCCTCGCTTCTGTGGGGCTCAGACCCTCCTGTGTCGTTTGCAACAGCAAGTGTCAAAAATGCTGGAGAAAGCCAGAGCACAAGGAGGTGAAATCAAAGGAGAGGCACAGACCCAGAGGGGAAATGCTTCTTTGCAGGCAGAGGGCATGGGGCTCTTGGGGCTGCTGGGTGGCAGCTCTCAGCAGCACTTTTCATTGACAGGCTAAAGCAGACTGCTTGCACTTGGAAAAAATACAAGCCAAACCAAACCAAAAACACACCAGTGTATTTGTCATGACAAACTTTGGACCCCATTGCTTTTGCGGCGGGCTGATGGATGCCCAACACCAGTCCCAAGGGTGAGGAGAAAGTCCCTGCCCACGCGTGCCCGTGCTGTGACTCTTCAGAGGTGCTTTCCCTGTGCCCTGCCACAGAATGAGAGCCCGCCCGGTCTGCTGAAAGCCGCCTGTATTCTTTATTGGTCGTGAACAAAACCGCTGCAGGCACCCCTGGTCTGTCAGCACTGCCTCTGGGGGAGAAAGCTGAGAGGGATCAAAAGCGCGAGTCATTGTTGTAAAGGGTTTTTCAGCTACCGTTAGGAAAAAATGGGATTTAAAAACAAAAACAAACAAACAAACATCTTCTGGTCTTTGGGAGCCCACAGCATCACAAGGGACCCTGGCCAGCCTGGGGCTGCAGGGGCTCAGCCCCTCGGGCTCCTGCCACTGCACCTCCGCGCTCGGGCCCCTACAATTCTGACGAAATCACCGCTGGAAGCTGAATTTAAACAGGAAAAGATCAAGCTATAGCAAATTGTGACAGCAGCAAGCAGCGCAGCTTGCTGAGCCTCACGGCAGAGCCACCCCCTCACTGCCGCGTCCCCGTGTCCCCTGCCCTCAGACCTGCCCGTCCCAGGCCGGGGGGGCCGCAGCCGGAGCCGCGCTGTCCCCAGGGGCACAGCCCTGGGCGATGGCGTTGGAGGTGAGGAGGTAGGTGGAGTAGGCGAGGTCGGCGTCCTCCTTGGAGCTCTGCAGAAGGATAGAGGACATGGTGAGGGACACGGTGAGGGACACGGTGAGGGACACGGTGGTGGGTGGCAGGGGAGGGGGCAGCACGCGGCGGGTGCATGCAGAAAGCATTTCCCATCGGGGATGATGTGCACAGGCTGGACCAAAAATGCCCAGCCTTGTTGATTCTCAAGGCACGAAATGGCTGCAAAAGCGATTTAATTAAAAGCATGGGGAGCCTGGCTCTGATGAGGGCCTCTTTATTGCTCAGCTCTGGGCTCTTGGCACTGACACCTGTACATAGCCTGTGGTTAGGGGCTTCTAAAAAGAAGTGCTCCGACCTGGCACCGTGTGTTAGTGCGGAGTGGTGCTGCACCACCATGGTCTCTCCTGCGGGGAGGGCAGCTGGGGGCAGGCAGGGGAGTACTGGGGACACTGGAGTGAGCCCCAACCCTCTCAAAGGCAGAGACCCCCCGTCCTGCACTGCCTGCGTGGGAGCCCTGCTTTGGGGAGAGGCTGGGGAGTGCTCTGGCCTCTGGCCATGTGCTTGTCCCAGTGCTTTATGGCTACAGTAAGGACCATACCCCGACCTTCCTGGTGCTCCCTGAGGCTGGCTTGATGTAGTTTCAAGCAAAGCGACTGCTGCTAGTGCCTCTGCTAACACATGGGGTCAGGAAAGGGTTAAGGTGCCCCATGGAGGCAGGTGGCCTGATGCAGGCATGATGAGGAACCTCCTTGATAAATAAGGCCCAGGGGCATGGGCAGCTCCTTTGGTGATGCTGGAGCTGTGCTGGTGCCTGCTAGGTCAGTGGGTGCGCTTCTACCTCTTACCCTTTTTGCCTTCTTTGTCTCAGCTGTGCTCTCAACGCTGGCAGTGGTGGTGATGAATTCTGCACAGACAGAAAGGGAGACGTTAGGGTGTGATGTTCTGGTGGCTCCTGGGCTCTCAGGCTCTGTGAGCCCCGAGGCTGGGGGCAGCCTGTGCGCCAGCACCGTACCGTCCCCTCCCAGCTGAGTCTCCTGGCTCGCTTTCATGCAGGTGTTATCGTTTGCCCCGTACTCCTTCACGCTCTCGAAGTCCGACATGCTGATGTTGGTTCTGTAGCTCCCCACGGACACCAGGTCTGTTCGGAGGGAAGCGATGAGTCCCCAGCGTGCCCTCATGCACCCAGCCACTGCACGCAGCAGCGCCAGGAGCAGCCCCAGCACGCAGGGACCGCTGCAAGCAGCCGCTGCTGCCTCTGTCTGAATGCTGGGGCCACGTCCCAAATGTCCCAAGGGACTGGGAAGGGCAGGGGCTCACCTGATCTCTTGAGCTGCCGGTATTTAAACACAGCAAAAGCTGCACCGAGGACGACGACTGCTGCGCCAGAGGAGGCCAGGGCTACAGTAAGGGCATTGGAGCCAGAACTTTGTTCAGAGCTGCAGTGGAGGGAAAGATGGATTACTAAGCTGTGAGAAGCATTTTTATTGGGATCACTCACAACTGAATAACATATATAAGTTTCTAACTGTTGAAAATCCACATAGGGTGGTAAATCTGAGTGAGCATGAGGTGGTTCAGTTAATGAACTGCAGCTAAGCACATCATAAGAGGATAAGTACAAATGTTGGATGGAGGTAGTGCCAAAATGGCTCTATTAGCAGCTTGGTTGTAAATGTGCGAAGGAAACATCTCTAATCTTGACAGAAGCATTTTTAATTATTTTTTTTCTCTACCTGTAATTTCCAATCATTCCCTTCTGAAATGATATTTGTACCTGGGCTAGATACTAATTTCAAGTCTTGCCTTTTGCTATGACTTTTTTGCTTCTTTACTTCTGAAAGTTTGAGCTTAGTGCTCTGGGAAAAATAATTTATCTGTTGCTGAACTGCACACATGGCATGCAGTGTATCAGCAACAAACTAATGTAAAATCTGCAAAACTAAGTAGTGAGGGAGGCTTGGGAAGGACTGACCTTTCGGAGGCAGCTGCGTTTTGCACCCCAGCATCGCTGAAGGCTCTCCCCTGGGGAACAACGCCACGGTCGGCACTGCTGGGCGCCACGGCATTGCTGGGAGCTGCAGCATTGCTGGGAGCTTCAGCATTGCTGGGAGCTGCAGCATCACCGGGAGCCACGGCATTGCTGGGAGCTGCAGCATTGCTGGGAGCTGCAGCATTGCTGGGAGCTGCGGCATCACCAGGAGCCACGGCATTGCTGGGAGCTGCGGCATTACTGGGAGCCACAGCATCGCTGGGAGCCACAGCATTTCTGAGAGTGTCCAAATTCAGGAGCTCTGGGCTGAGTTCGGCAACTTTCTCTGCATCCCCTAGGGAAGAAGGGTGGTTAGTTGCAAGCAGCAGTCTTGCAGGGAACATATTGGTGCATGTGGAAATGTGGTGAGTTGGGGCTGTACCTATGAGGCTCTTATTTTAGAATGAGATTTAGATCTGAAATCTCATTCCAAATAATCTATTGGAAAAATCTCAAGCAGGATCTCCATGTCTGTACTCTCCTAAAAATCTGGCGTTTCTAAGTCCTGCTTCTAGTATTTCCAGAACAAATGTTGAATATTTGGATTACTTTTGTATCTCTTTGCCCACCAAAGACATTGAAAAAAGATTGTTTCTCTTTTCACTTTGAAGATCATCCACTTGGGACAGCTGCCTGTGGGATCTCTAGCACTAGGCTGTACTTATTCTGCACTGCTTCCAATAATATCCCTTCCCAAGAAAAATGTATTCTCTCTAAAATACTCCACTGAAGCTGAGTCCCTTGCTTTTCCAAGGGGAATTGGTGACAGCCCTTCTTAGTATTTTGCCTAGTATTTTCCTTGTGAAGATGAATGAGCTCCCTGGAGTGACATGCAGCTCTTCATGTGACAGGTGTCTGATGATGCATAATCTGCGTGATGCTATGAATTATAATAGCAGTAATTAGTAAGGATGGGGTTGAAAATCGTGTGGAAGGAAACGTGAGACTGGAGGGCTTTTTTTAACAGGGAACAAGGTGGGGGCAGAAACCAGTGAGCGGATGCAAACACCTATGGTGTGCTGCACGACATCAGGGTGATCTTGGTGGCAACTGGTCTGGGAGGCTGTCTGGAAGGGAGCATTTCTGTTTTGAGGTGCTGCAACCTAGTGGATGTGGAGAGCATTTCCCTCAGCAGAAGGCAGCGTGATTCACACCAAGAGAAGCAGCAGAGCCCCAGCGACCCTTCCCCTGGGGCTCACCTCCAGCCACCTGCAGGTACACCGCCAGCGTTTCCCCGTAGTGGCCGTTGCGCTTCACCCCGCACCAGTACCACCCTTGGTCCGCGCTGGTCACCGAGTCGAAGGTTAGGACGAGTGTCTTGTTGGCGGTGTCACAGCTGACGTCCACCCCTGGCTGGCTTTGGTCAGAGGCAGACAAGGGGGAGCAGCCGTCGCTGCTCCACTTGCACCAGTACTTCTCGTAGGAGTAGTACTTGCACGGGTAAGAGCACGTTAAATCGACCCGTGAGCCCGCTTCTGCCAGCACGTCCTCCTTCCCCTTTAATCCAGGCTCTCCTGTGAGGGCAAACAGAACACCGAGAATGATGCTGGGGGATTTGGCAGTGGGAATTGTAGTCAACAGGCTGCGGGGCTGTTCACCATCTATCTCTAGATTGTGAACCAGGAGATGTCTTTGAGGGAAACTGCTCCTCACATTGCTAAATTAACACTAGGGATGCTGAACGTACATCTCTGGGTGAAAGCTGTTTTTTTTTGCAAGGCATAACGTTGAAACCTTGCATTTCCATTCTAAGACTACTGGGGGGACCATCACAATATTTTGCCTTGGGATGAGTTCAGAATCGTAACTCAACGTCTTTACCAAAAAAGTGAGCTCTCTGCTCCGTTGTGGAGCTTGGGAGGTTTCCATTCCTACGGAGCAAGCAGAGAACCAGCAATGTGTGAACTGATACCTTCTACGACCTTCAGCTCCTTCGATGACTTCCTCTCCCTTTCATCGTTCGTCATGCACCAGTAATAGCCTTTGTCGTTGTCCCGCAGCTGGTTCAAGACGACGCTGAATGTGCCGTTCTGCGGGTTGTCGAACATGGCCACTCTTCCTTCGTAAGTGTCAAACACGAAGCCGGTGTTTTCTATGATCCGAGAACACCCATTCTTTCTCCACTTGCACAAGTACTTGAGCGAGTAATTTTTCGCGGGATCGTAGTGACATTCAATGGTTACTGAACCTCCTTTGACTCCGGTTACTGTGCTCTTTCCTTGAGGAACGTTTGACCCTGGAGACAAAAATTCAATGAGCATTTATACATGTCTAACTTCTGCCCACATTGCGTTCTCCCGAGAGAATAAATATCAGATCACACAAAGCTGTCTGGTGTCAGCTAAAGCACAGCTAGGTGGTGCTGGGGGGTGCAGACGATAGGAGAGCATCCTGGCACTGCCAGCAATTGACCCCCAAGGGTCTGTCAGACCTTTCCTTCTCCTAAATTCACGGGGTGGTTGTTGTCTCTGTGTATCATCATTTCTCAGTTTCCTTCCCTTTGCTAGGGAAGGCAGACTTTTCCTTCCAGCATCTTAAATCTCAAAGTGACAGGCCTGAGGAGGCAGCTCCCTTGTCTGAAGCTTGCAGGCAGAATCTGCCCTCGGGAGCTCTGGGCTCGCTGGGCTGGGGCAGGGGCTGAGCACTGCTGGGGAAGCTGAGTCCTGACACAAGTCTGAGCTTTGTTAGTGATGGTTTCACACACTGCTGGTAGCTGCACCATCAGAAAGAAGTTCCTGGATGAAAGGATAGCATAATAGTGCTCCACAAAACTCTTGTTAAATAACGTGAGGCAGTCAGTGATGCTTCTAAACAAATGCAGAGATGAAAGGAAACAAAACATTGGGAATAGCTCACTCACCCTCGTAGACATGCAAATCCAGCTCCTTCGTTTCTCCGTACTCCCCGTAGGAGCCAACCCCGCACACGTACAAGCCTGCGTCTTCCCAGTTCACCTGGGTTATCATGACGCTGAATGCGCCGTCGGTGTCCTCATTGCTCAGCAGGGCTCTCCCTGTGAAGTCCTCATCGATCTTCCCATGCGTGTCGATGATGTTGTTGCAGACGTTCTTCTCCATCTTGCACAAGTATTTCCTCATGCTGACGGTGTCCGCCCCAAAGCTGCAGGTCATGGTTACGGAGCCGTGCAGCTCCACGTAGAAGAGCTCGGCCTCCTCGGGGACGTTTGGACCTGTGCAAAGAGACCGCTCAGCAGCTGCTTGGTTGGCAGCTGAGTGCTACTTCCCAAGCCTCCAAAGGATTTTATTTTTTTTTTCCTAGCAGGGGGTTTCTCTGTGCTGTTTCTCTGTACCCTGCCGTGCCATCCTGCACACCGCTCTCAGCAGTTTCCAAGCAAGGTTTGTGACATTATTGGGTTTTATCTCCTAGGATTTTTATGCCAGATTTTTGGTCAGACAGCAATCTGTTCCGTAAAACATTAGCAGAGAAAAACCCTGCTGCTTCCCAAAGGCAGGGAACGTCCTGAGCTCTTGGACGCCGTGCCTGGGCAGGCATCCTGTGGAGCTCTATTAAAAAGGGGAAAAAAAACATAGAAGAAAAGCAATACTTCAATACTGTAATTACCTTCAGAAATGTCCAGGCTGACTTTGTAGGAGAGCCCTCTGCCATTGAGGCCGACCCCGCACTGGTAGGTGCCTCTGTCTGACAGCACCAGCTGCGAGATGTTCACCACCATGACGCCCTGCTCCGGGTAGTCGCTGATGGAGGCTCTGCCGCGGTAGCTCGGGGACGTGTAGCCGTTGGAGGAGACGACGGTCAGGCAGTTCCGGGACGATTCCCTGCACCAGTATTTTCTGTCGTGCCTGTTCACCTTGGTGGGCGGGTAGAAGCACTTCACCGTAACCGACCCATCGATCAGGCCATACACCTGCCGTGGTCCGAACACGGGGCTTGAGACTGCAAGAAAGCACATTGCCTGTGAATTTTGGGTGTGCTGCTCCTCCCAAAGGGACTGAGCAGGGGGGGCTGGGGCTGTGCAGCCTCACGTGTCTGAAAGGTCCCACGGCAGCGATGGGCATGGAGAGGTAGACATGACCCTAAGCCCTCCTCCCCCCTTAGAAAAGCACCCTCTGGTCTTAGCACACAGGCACCTGTTGCACTTACTTGCTGCTTTGGGAGGATATTTGCTTCTTGCAGCTTCAGCTGAGAGGAAGCAGAGCAGGAAGATGAACGGCAGTGAAGTCATTTTGCTTACATTCCCTGGAAAAGGCACAGAAGTTGGCGAATAGTCACACTTGTAAAGGGATTAACTGATCGAGTCGCCTAATAATCCATACGCCTGGAGGGTAAGAGTTGTGGCTATTAGAGCTAGGGAAAAACACCACGTTTAATTACTTTAGTCAAACCATTTAATGTGCAATGGGGAGCTGATGTCTGCACTTGCCCATGTTGCTGCATGGCACTGCGACTGCCTGGGGGTCTGAAACCAAGGCAGCAATCCTCAGCCATGTAAAAGGAAGGGACCTGCCTTTACCACAAAGCCAGTTAATGCGAGGCTTGCAAGGCAGTGATGTAGCCATTGGAGCAGGATGCCCCAGGGACAGTGGTGATATGAGCAGCACAAGAAACTCTTTTGGCCAAACCAGAAGAGACCTGATTCCAAGTCAGAGGTGACATCTGGTTTGTGAATCAGAACAGCCCATCACAAGGCTGAAGTCCAAAGATGGCCCAAAAGCTGCTGAGCCCAAGCAGGCCAGGAGTTCAGGTGGTGGCTCGGAGCTAGGCTGCTCGCTGCCTTGCCAGGGTAATGCCACTTGAAATAGTTTGTTGTTTGTGCCGTGAAAGGAAGGCTTGTTCCCTCCTGAGCCTGGGTGCCAAAACCACTCCTTGAGAAAACCTGCTTTTGTAGAGCAGAGTTCCTGTCCAAAGCCAGTATTTAGTTTCATACCATTGCTTTCCTGTTTTCTTCAAGAACGTGGAAACATTGGGTTTTTCTTTCCTTGGCTGCTGATAAAGTCAGGGTGCAGAGATTTAAACCCCCCAGAGAATCACTGGTACATCTGACCAAAACTACTGCACCAAAACTAAATCCTAGCCAAAGTGATGGCTGGTGGGAATGCCAAGCCAAGCTGCCTGTTTCTTGAAATGTGTCCCCAGCCAGCAGGATGAATATTTCTGATCTTTCCATGTCTTGTTCTGACTGATGGCGCAGGGAAAGCCAAGGCTTTTAATTCCCTAAGTGGTTTTCCCTGGCCCGAACCGAGTGTGCTGCAGGACACTGCGTGGTGCTGTGGTGAGAGGATGCACTTCTGAGCACAAATGTTGATCTACCTGTTTATTATTCCAAGCTCTAGAGATGACAGATGCCAAGGAAAGTCTTTATGAATGTTCACAGGAATTTGATTTCAGGGCATCAGGTGACAGGTTTTATTTTATGAGGGGTAATTCCCAGCAGAAGAAAAATGCCTTCGCTTCCGTGTTAAGATGAAAGGTGTTCTGTTGTTCTTTCTTCCTTGTATTGTGATTTCTAATTGCTCAGTGTCCACTTGTCTATGGTTAATAATTTACTCACTGAGCATGAAAAATGCTTTTTCATACATATCCCCGAGGTAGCCAGCAAGGCAAACAAAGCACGCTGTGCCAAAGGCAAACAGCGCAGCACAGCAAGGCCCCGCTTTGCCCCCCGCTGCCCTCCCGCCCCCACCGGGCACTGCCAGCTGTGGTGGCAAGGGGCAAGGACAGGTCCCAGTCCAGATTTTCCCCTTCTTGGTAAAATTTGTGTGATCGGTTGCTCTGACTCCTTCCTGAAGCAATCAGCTGTGTCAGGGTTACCGACTGCAGCATCTTGCCAGGCGGGGAAGGATTACGGAGACCTCGCTTGGAAATGAAGATCGAGCAGTGTGAAAGAACACAAAGATGTGTGCAAGAGTGGTGGCAGCGAGGTCTGCGTGTGTGCGAGCAGGAGAGGATTTGGGCATCCTTCTCCAACTTGTGCCTACACGAGAGTGACAGCTTGTGTGTGCTGCCACCAGCAACGTGTGGCTCCGACTGCCCCTGGTCCTGCTCTCTGGCACCAACGCCCTCCCTGCTTGCTGAATGGAGGCAGCAAGTCCCAGCAGGCACGGCCGCCTCTTACGCAAAAAGCTCTGCCGGGCACTTGCACACCAACCCCCTGAGCGGGGCGAGTGGAAACCCCCTGCCCTGCACGCCGAGTGATGCTGCCCGGCCTCCCCGGAGATGCTGGGGCAGAATTCCTAACAGCCTGCTGCTAAAACAGCTCCTGCTGCTAAAACAGCTCCTGCTGCTCCTTGCTTTCAGAGAACTTTTGCTGCTGCCTCGGCTGCCTGCAGTCAGAGCGTGAGACTCAAACCTCAGAGCCCAGATAAGGGAAAGGCTGCTGAGCTGGTGTGAAAGGGCGTGCAAGTAAGTGGCTGTGCAAGGGACCTGCATTAGTGCTGCTGCTGGTGGGGGGTGTTAGAGAGGAGGTGGGACAGCAAATGGCTGCAGGGGGCTGTGAGAGAGTCAGGAGGCTTGAAGCAGAGTGTGCTGCCTGCAGGGTATCTGGGAAGCAAGTTTATGGCATGGACGTGGGGTTGGAGATTATCTGCATGTGTCTGGCAGCAACAGCTCCTTCAAGGAAAATGCAGGAATTCACCCCAGGCAGTGATGCTGTGACTGGTCCTGGGAGGGCCCTCGAGTCCTTGGGGGGAGGTCTGAGGTCTGACATGAAGCGTGGGGCTGGTGCAGTGCTCCCAGCATCTTCCAGCAGAAGCCACTTACCCCCTGCACGGGGGATAATATCCCTGCTGCTTTTGTCGATGCAGGAGAAGGGCTTTTTCTTTGGGATGCTCATCCCAGTGCTTTGCATGTGCTGCCTTAGCCTCGCGTATTAAAAACTGAGAGAGAAACTGCGTGGGAGGTGGTGCCATGGGCTGGCCAGGAGGGAAGGCAGAGAGGGAGCCCGGGGGAAGGTTCCCGCTGGGAAGGCGTCTCCAAAGCAGGTCTGCAGCACGGGGCAAAGATACCACAGGTGGGAAATGCCAAGCTGGCAGAGCCTCCTCCAGCCCTTTTGGATCAATTTTCGTGGTTAGTTTAAAACTTTTTGATGGGTAAAGGGGCAGGTGGGGGGTGCTGGGAATGATGAAGCATCCTATTTCTTTTCCATACCCTTTGCAGCACGGGGTGAGCAGAGAAACAGCCAAGGGGAAAGCTTTCGGCTGCCTGAGTGTGTGTGTGCCCGGTGCTCAAACATCCCTGCTGTGGTCAGAAGGCTGCCCCCCTCCCTGGCACAAACCCCCAGCTCTGTTGCAATGGTGACTGTCTTTGGAATAGTACCAGCTGTGCGCTGGGGCTGTACTCATTTCTTCCTCTATCTTATTAGATAACTCAAATCTTGTTTTTCTGAAGTGGATTTGGCTCATTTTGCATCATCAGAACTGCTGGCTTCCTCCTCTGCCCTGTCCCAAAGCAATGTATTGAAGTTTTACAGCACAAAAACTGAACTCAGCAGGCAGGATTCTGCCTTCAGGACTCCAAAGTCCCCAGGATCAGGGCAATGGGGCTGTCCCGAGACACTTTGCCAGGCAGGGCTGGCTGCAGTGTGCTGCTGTTTGTGTGCAATGCAACAGGGGTTGCAAAGATTTATGTTGGACAAACTGAGAACTGGACAGGCTAATTATTAACAAAATTAATTCTAGCCAATCAAGATATTTAGTTGTAATATGCTTTAAAGCAGGAGATACAGCCGTTACCAGGTAAATGGAGTTAAATCTCCCCTAGTTGCCCCCTTACATGCTCACGGAGTGGCCGGGTACATGACCACGAGCTCGAGCAGCTGCTCAGAACCCCACAGAGGCCAACTGCAGAGGCATGCGAGTGCAAGAGAAATCTAAAGTATGCAAGCACTCGAAACCTAAATATACCTATGCCATAACAACAGGTGACTGACTACTCGTTATGACCTGTAGCAGGCTTCCATAATTTGGATTTTGTTGGTTTTTCCCTACCACCTCAGTGTGTGAGAGCTCGGTGCATGCACATGCTGCACTGAAGGTGCCAGTCAGGCTTTGCTGGTTGGCACAAAATTGGATCTGGATGTGCCACAAAGTGGGTTTGGTGTGAAAAAAAGTGCAAATGGGAAAATTGCAAGGTCCTTTACAACCTAATGGCCTTTTTTTGCTTTGTTGCAGGGTGTTGGGACATTGGTCTGGAGTAGTTATGGCATGAGGCATCCCTGGGCTTGGTTTCCTGGTCTACCGTGTGTGGGCATTTCCCTGGATCCCCCATGCCGAAAGCACTGCAGGGGCTGTCAGGGTTGGGACCATCGCCTTCCTCTCCAGCTGTGTGGCAGGCCTGAATTCTGAAATGATGCTTTCAGGTTCCTGGCATAAAATGCTGGGGGAGCAGGGGCTCTCAAACCATGTTAGCTCTTCTAAATATTACAAGACCTTCCCTGGGTTTCCACGGTGCTTTTGCAACTCTGAGCACTCGGGAGGAATGTCTTCAGATATATAATGGTGCAGAGGAGATTGGGACCTGAACCGAGTTATGCAAACGCAAGCAAGCAGCTGCTCTGACTGGGTAAAAAAAAAAAAATCAGATCAATTCCCAAATTCTGCTGTCTCAGCTGCTGGGTTGAGCTTTGAGAAACTGGCGCTCTCACAGTGCGGCTTGCCAGGGATCAACAGGCCAATCTATTAGCCATTAACTACTGCTCTTAACAACGACCAGTGTCAAGGATGTGCCATGGGACCAATGAAACACGAAGAGTTCACTGCCATGCTTCTGATTTCACTGCAGGAACCTTCTGCTTTGCGGAAAGTCTGCTGGTATTCACGCATTTAAGGAACAGCAGACGGAATGGAGCAATGGGCATTTTTGCCCCTCAAATCCTTTTAAAGACAGACCGACTAACACCATGAGTGAGCTGCACAGATGCAAACCGTTGCAGACGTACGTGGCGCTGAGCAGCAGCACCAGGACTGGGCAGTGAGGAGGAGCTGGGGTGATTTGTGGAGGCGCCTGGCAGCAGGACACAGCAGCGGCCATCCTGCTGAGCAGCCCCGGGGCTCTCCACATCCTCCTAAATTGCTGCACTGGTGGCCGTATTGCCAGAGTTATTTGCTAGAGTGGGAGGGGAAAAGCCGTCCGTCCGCTTGGATAGCGCACGCTCATTGTGCTCTGTGGAGGTGAGCGAGCAGTGAGCTCCTGAAGATAAAAGATCAGCCTGACCTAAACACACGCAGAAAATTTCTGCTTCCAAACTGATGCCCGCTTTGCAACATGGAAAGAGTAAACAGGATGTGCTGATTTTATGATAGGCTGAGCAGAGATAGCTAGGCAGATCTGATCAAAAGTTATCAGGACTTGCAATGAAATCAACCGTCTCTAGGAATTTCTGCAGTCCCGTAACCTTCCTAGTTAAGGATCTGTGTTTGTTCCAGCTAAATGCTGTGCTAAGCGAGCACTATATTCTGGAAAACAAATGGAAAAGACTGGCCAGATAATCCTTATTAATGACTGAAATTTCCACTGAGGTTGTCCTGATGACCTAATTTTAAGTGCCCGTAAGCTGTTAGATGCACTGTCTACTGGTTTGTTACTCTTCAGATAGGATTCTCATGGTTCACTCGTTTCTTACTGTTTGTTTCTTGAGCTGGAAAGTGAAACCAACTTTGGCACTATTAAACTGTTATTGTAGCTTAAAACTATTCATGTTCCTGGAATTTGTGCTAACCCAAAGCAATTACTGTACTGCTACGGAGTGTGCTGTAGAAGTTTGGGTGGATGGAAAGCATCAGAGCACCCGTCCTTAGCAGCAGCACAATTGCAGTTAGGAGGTATTTTTTCACTGTACTTCAGACAAAATAAATCAGGTCCTTCTGGAGGTAAGAATTTAGGCCTGCAGAAACCCAGCCCTTTGCTGTGGTACAAGGCAGAGGAGTCTGTCAGCTTTGTCTCCCCTGTTTTAGGGCTCTGTGTCCACCCCATGCCCTTATGCTGCGGTATCTATTTATCTGCCCTTTAACTGTACACGTTTGGTAGCTTTTCAGAGCTCTTTCAGGAGTTAGCCCTACCAATTCCCTTCCTAAATTTCCAAATCCATCTCCTTATGACCATCGCAGTGCTGTGATACAAAAAGTCATAATGACCACAGACTGAGTTGCAGCAGTTCAGATTACTGCAGTTGTATTTACTAACATTTGTCATTTTCTATGTTAAAACATAATGCAAATATTGTAATGATAATTACCTTATAGCCAGAAAGGGAAGATTAAAAGTCTAAGGCAAAGAAGAAAAAGTAAAAATTACAAGCTTGATCCTATTTCTCTGACTGTCTTCTAAAGTAAAACTTTCTCCTCACCAGCAAGAGCTTCACGTCCATTTACTGCTGCTTCAAAGCGAGTTCCCTGCGCACATGTGAGGGGAAGGGACCTGAACTGCCCCGTGCTTTGTGCTCTGCTCCTTCTGTATCTTACAGTGCAGAAGATTTCATGCTTTAGGAGGAAAATGAAGAAGCTTTACTCACACTTCAGGTTACTCCTGCAGACTGCTTTGCACTTCTTGCTTTCTCCTTCAGGCTGGCTTTGCTGGTACCTTGGCAGCTGACCCCGGGACCTCCTGGCTGTGCGTGGGTGTCTGTCTGTCCTGCCTCCCCGCTGCGGCTGGACACTGAGCTCGGGCAGTGCCAGCCTGTTTTAAATACTCCTCGTACCTCCAGCCATGCATTTCCACCTGTTGTGCCTTAAAGGAATAGCATCCGAGAGCCTCGCAGGTGCACAGGGTGCCACGTGGGAGCGGGGACAGCCAATGCCCGTCCCGGCACCGCTGACACTTGGCAGGGCAGCGGGCGCACGTCGCTGTTTGCCTCCTGATTACACCCTCCCGTTGTGCAACCAAGAGTGGGCTCTGGCCTCGGCCGTGGGCGCTGCCCTGGCACTTCCACTGCCTTCGGGCAGGATGTTTGCCCAACGCAGCCAGGTTTAGGGTCAGGAACATGGGTAGGCTGCTGCTGTGCCGGCAGTGGGTACCCGCAAGGCAGCTTGTGGCTGCCCTGCCTGCAGAGCAATAGTTTTGTAGGGAAAACCTGTGCAAAACCATTTTTTTTTCCCACTGGTTTTCCATTTTGTTTTTGGAAAGCAGTGCCCTAAGCAGGCCCGGGCTCGTTGTATCTCCTGGCAGAGCAGGTTGGCCTCGCTGGGAGGGCAGCTCTGCCCCCAGCCCCTCTGCCTCCCCACTGCCCCGCGGGCAGAGCAGGAGCCCGGGTGGGCCAAGGCTGGCTTCGTCTGTGCAAAACGAGAACACGGCAAGTTCTTTAAATTGAAAAATCCGCAGGTGCTCTGCTGCCATCTTCAGCTTTGTCGCTTTGCTATCCTGCTGTAGGCATGCGAGGGGCCCGTGCAAGAATTCTCCTGCAAAGACTGAGGTTGTCAGAAATTGAATGGTATGAGAAACTAGAATTAATGAAAATGGAAGCGTTTGTTGTGTAGGATGAATCGTTAACCTGCTTTACCTTGTACTAATGATTCAAAAGCAGTAATTTCATTTAACTTGGGGGGTCACATGAAGCTTTTCTCCTCTACTCATAGGGAAAGCTGAGGAGTTCAAGCAGGACGGCACCTCTGGGCAATCCTGCCCTAGCTGAGAGCAGGTGGGATCCTGACCTGGGGCTGGGACATCCTACAGCTTGTCAGACCCTACAGCCATCTGGAAGCACCTTTCCTCTCACCGAGGGTGCCGAGCTCCTCCGCAGGAAGGCTCAGCCATTGCGGCAGGGCAGGAGCTGCCGTGGGGAGCGCGGCCGTGCCCGAACCCACACAGAGTGCACTGCGGGGTCTGGGATCGGGTCCAGCCGTGGTCACTCTCCCCGGCAGGAATAACACCCGTCCCTTTGCAAGCCGTGTCCTTCCCACCACTGCTCCGCTGGCCGCGGCTGGCATGGCTGATTTGAGTTCCTGGGCATGGAGTTGCAACTGGCCATGATAAACACAGGTGTGTTTGCCTTTCCTACAGCTCCCATTCCTGTGGGCACCTTTCCCTTTTGGATGCCAGGGGGTTCCCCACCCGGCTGCTCTGGCCCTGCAGGTTGCCCCGAGATGTGCAGAAGCACCGAGGAAGGCGGTGTGGCCTCGGGCAGGTGAAGAAGCCCTGGCAGAAACCAGCCCATGGGGACCTGCAGCCACTTGTGAATCTCAGGCAAGAAGAGGTAGTCCCAGGTGGGGATTAACAGTTTCTTTAGGCAAGGCACTGTCTTCGCCCTTGAAGTTTCTGGTAAAACTGATCTATTGTCTCCAAACAAGATGGAATTACGCAAATATATTTACTTGCTTTAACAGACAAGGAAATGTCCTTCTGCCAAGTCACAGGTTCCAAAGCACTTTGGCTTCTCCAGAGAACAAACAACCCCTACCTTGCTTTTTTGGAGGAGCCAAAGCGCAGTATACAGCATGGGATGTAATCTGAGCATGCACACCAAAACTACTGGTTTGGTCTGAGCTTCCTTCCCATCAGGAAGCTCAGCTGCTACAAGAGGCATTAAGGGCTGCACACACGAGTAGCTTGGTTAGATGCCTTGTTTAATTCTCTACAAACCACAAACAAGTGACGTTTGGGCAGCCTGCAGTGATTCAGATTTGGACCTGCTGCACAGGATACTCAGCTTCAGAGTGGGGAGCAAGGAAAATATGGTGCTGTGTGCCTTGGGGTTTATCGCGATGCCTCAGCTTTTGATAAAGAAGCTCTGGTCTTATGTATGGAGTGGTTTGACAGCTGGGAGTTCTGCCTTATTTTCCTCAAGTCTTGATCAATTGTGCTGAAAAGTGTTCTTTTCCTCACAGGATCCCTGTAAAAACAGAAGAAAAGCTGTTACCGTGGTATTGCCTCTGCAATATTTTTAATGGTGTTTGTTTTTTATGCCTAACAGGTATTTTAAATGGGTCTGATATTTCAGGAAGTCCTGAGAACACAAACTTTTTTTTTGCACAGGGTAGGAGGGGACTTCTGGAATCCACCCTCATACTCCAATTAAGAGGGCAGTTAGGCCAAAGTTTTTGAACTACTATTACACCAAGTGATTATTTTTTTAATGGAGGAGAATGCATTTCTCTGATACGAGTTTCTACGAATTGTGCATATTTTAAATTATCTTCCCAGATGTTTTCTGTAAGAGATTCTTGCTGAAGATTAGCTCCATGACAGCTCCACTGCTTTCATATTTTGCCAGAAGACAGACACTTACGCATAAGCTGGTCCTCCTGAACCTTCCAAGGATAGCATAGATTATCCTGCAGATGTAAGGCAAAAAAAAAAAAGAATATGATTGCAACATAATGAACAAGAATTGCTTCTGTGTAATACTGCAAGAGGTTCCAAGTAATCAGATTTTGTTGGAACAAGCAAGCAGGAAGAGTGATAACATGCTTACTATGTGTAGGCAATAAGTTATCATCAATGCTATAATAAATTTATAAAGCTCATAAAGGATTTAATCAAATTATTTTGAAATCTATGGCTCAATGTCTGTTGGTAAGGAATAAGGACAACAGTTCCACATCTGATCATCTATCCTGGATCGCAGGGTTGCAATTCCTGGACTGCAAACCCAACGTCTGTCCCATGGAGACATTTTACACGCGCAGTGGCAGATCCTCTGCCTAAAATATGGTTTTACTCTCTTCTGCCAAGGGAGCCAACATTTGCAGCACCAGTTTCAGAAAACACCCACCGACATTTGCTCGAGTCTGTCTTGCATCCGTTCGCTTCAGCTGGGCTCCCGGTTTCCTCCATTTGCTTTTTTGCGGGGTTTAGACCAGCCTGAACCAGCACAGCTTCTGCATGTCCCAGGATGCTTCTTTCTTGTCCTTAACAAAAAAATATGCTTGCAACGGAAGGCAAAAGCTCCTCTAAAGCCTATTTAAATTTATGAGCATGTTGTTACAGACATTGGATTAGGCTCATTGTTTCCCGGTTTCGTTCTTGTAAATAATTGTGTTTTTATTCACCATTGTTCCCACTGAAGGTTTTTGGCCCTAAATTTCTAACCAGAGACACAGCGTGTTGTAGAATAATGTATACGTATGTTTTTTTTGACAGTTTTTAACAAAGAGTTTCTGGTATGTCTTTTTCAGCCGTGCACTGAATGGGCTGGATTCGGCCCCGCGGAGCTGCCCGGCTCACAGCTGCTCGCACGGCACAGGTCCCTGCCCTTTATGCTCAGGATTTCCGAGCACTCTTGGAGCTGTAAAACTGTTCAATGCACAAAAAGCAGCCACACTTTTGGTAGTTCTCCACAATTTCTGTTTCCTTCCTTTGCTTTTCATTTAAGCATATTAAAACCCACCTCGGTCGCACCGCCAGCAAAATGGATGCGTGTCTCTCGAGGCAGAAATCGTCAGTGAGTCACGCTCTGGCAAGAGCCAAGCCCTTGCAAAAGGCTCAGCTGCAACCCAAAAGGTGGTGCCTGGCCGACTTACCAGTCTCCTTTTGAAGCTTTATTTTGGCAAGGACGAGAATAGCGATAGTGATGAAAATCAGCAAAAGCAGAGCCGACAGCACAACTGGGAGCAGGTGTGATTCACCCGATGAGCTGGAAAGATGAACCGTCGGAATTAAATTGGATTTTGAGTTAAAGACCGGGTGGTTGAATGGAGACTGTAGATTTTACACCAAAGAGCACAAAAGAGTTATAAACAGACTGAATCAAAGGAGAACAGTCAACAAAGTCAAGCAGAAATGAAATTGTTTGATCTGGAACTTGGCTTATGAGGAAGTAATTTCTACAGCTACCTCTGCTCAGCCATGAGGGGCTTATGCTGCCTGATGAATTATCCCCTCCAAGAGGAAAACGTGCTTTTTTCATCATACAAACTCCCAAGCAGGGTTCAGACTCTTTCTCTGCAAGTTCTTGTAGGCTGTCATGTTGTTGCAGGGTGTCTACGTGCCATCTCCTTGTGAAAATGCCATAAACGCTATCAGAGCTCGACATGTGGATAGAGCTTTGCCAGGAACGGTGCAAAATCCGACCCTTTATACAAGAGTGTGACTTAAGGTAGGTAGGTAGCATGCTCCTGCTGGCAGGCTGGTAGCTAAATGTGGTTGGGGGAGGCAGTGGCTGGGGAGAACAGGGTTGTAGAGACAGCGCTTTTCATGCTGGGGGGGCAGACGCAAGCGTGCAGAGGGGCTGCTCGGGACATTGAGCTGGATTTGCGGACTGTGGTATTTCTTCAGTTATGACCGGTACTGCAATATCTGATACATCTCTGCCAGCTATGCAAATTGCTTTACCTGGTACTGGATGGTGGCCATAGCCGGGGTGAAGGGTCTAAGGACTGCTCACAGCCACCCTGGCTAACAGGAAACCCAGAGTTAAAATCACCAGGGGCAAACTGGCTCTGCGGTGAGCGGCATGGCGTTTTTAGAGAAGTCCCATGGAATAATAACTGGCCAAAATAGCTCACAGCCTTTTGATTAACCTTGTCCAAAGATAGGTCCTTATGCAACGCAGAGCACCCAAACACTGCACTGGGTACTGGCTGCCCATGATGGCTGGGATGAGGTGCGCCATGAAGTATGTAGCAGCTGCTGATTTGCCAGCGTTATTGCTCAAGCCTAATGTTTCCTAATGTCCTGTCTCCACACTAACCAAAGGAAAACAGACAGGAGCACATCTGTTGACTCTGGCAGCTGATCTACAGGACTGACCAGCACCAGAAGATTTCGAGACTGGTTCAAAGATCCTCTCCACAGATGGACATGAGATAAGCTTGCCATCTGCTTTTCTAATTACACCTATTTTCTATCAGAGTTTATAATTTGCAACCTCTGCACAACCTAAGTAGAGGCCAGGGGAATTGGGCAGACGGGTGCAAACCACCAAATTTGTGTCTTGGAGAAAAGTGGCCATGAGCTTACCTCTTGTGATAGATGCTGCTGCGGGAGGTCACCGAAGTGCTGGGGGGGGCAGTGGGCAGCTGGGTGCCCGTGGTGCCCGTGGTGCCTGCAGTGTACTTGGTGCCTGTGGTATACGTGGTGCCCACAGTGTACGTGGTGCCTGCAGTGTTTCTGGTGCCCGCAGTGCTCCTCTGTGTTGGCGTGCTGTAGGCTGCCAGGCTGGATGGCAAAATGGGGTTCCCAAGAGTGTATGTTTCCGGGTTTTGTGAAGTGCAGGTTCCTGCAAAGAAAATGATTTTCAGGCTTGAATACCCATCTTTTTGCAGAGAACATTCTAGATTTACCAAAAGTTTGTGCATTTCACCTTGCAGTTGATGGAAAAGGTATGCAGCGTGATATGACCAAACTCTAGCATTTATATTATGGAAAGCAATTTGGGAGTACTAATGAAAAACCATTAACACTTGGCAAAAATTCTTTCTTCAACCCCACTACTTCTGTCTTTGACAGCTGAGCAGTGACATGGATCTATGTATTTATGTGCTGCAGTCTCTAAAGCTGTAAGGTAACGCTCAGCTTGTCTGCAGCGCAAAGCCTTTGTCTCCACGGTGCACACGCTGTGCTCAGGTTGTCATATGCTGGGGTTTTGCTTCATAATCAATAATAGAATTCAAACAAACCAAGTTCCTGCTGAAAGCTCAGCTTGCAGCCCCACCTTTACAAACTTTGCCACCCTCTCGGTTACTTGCCAATACCTGCTCGTAAGGCAAAATGTAGAGCAGAAGTTTCTCATGGCGCCATGACGTTTATGCACAGAGCAAAGCACAACCTACTCTCCTTGTGCCCGTGAAGGAGTAGGGGGAAGAATGATTAAAAAACCCAAAGGGATTATTGTGTTCCTAGCTGCCCCGTGGCCTACCCTTCTGGATGAGCAGCTTCACAGCGGACGTGTGCTCCGTGTGCCCGCTTCTGGCCCCACACCAGTACCACCCCGCGTCGTCCTCTCTCAGGGGTCCCATCACCACGGTGTACGTCCCCTTCTCCTGGTCGCTGCTGGCGATCCGTATGCGCCCTTTGTAGGACTCGTGCATGAAGCCGTCCAGATCCAGCAGCAGGGAGCAGCTGGCCGCCTTCCACCTGCACAGGTACTTCGTCTCGTAGCTGCCCTGGGGGTCGTGGTGGCACCTCACCGACAGCGAGCCTCCCACCGTGCCGCTCAGGAACTTCGGGCTCCTGGGCCGGGAGGAGGCTGCAGGTTGGGATAAGCCATCAGCATTAATGTGGATTAATTAGCATTTTGTGCCCTGCTCAGAGGCCATGAGGAGCCCCCAGGGAATCAGTGCCCAATCCTACCTGTGGTCACCTGCAGGGCCACGTCCTGCAGGCTGTCCTGGCCGCCCAGCCTGCCCGTCCCACACCTGTACAGCCCCGTATCTTCCTTTCTTAAATCATTTATCAGCACTTTGAATGCTCCAGAGCTGTCCTGAGGGGTGATAAAGATTCGTCCCTCGTATCTCTTCGCCACATAGCCATGGGTGTCAGCGATGAGAGCGCAGCCGGCGCTCCCCACTTTGCACCAGAACCTCTTCGTGCCATTGCGGGTGTCCCCAGGAGGACAGGGGACGGTGACGGAGCCACGGAGCTCCCCGTGGAGCAGCTCGGCCAGCTTTGGAGCACCCAGGTCTGTGGGGAGAGAGCAGGTGGGCGCCGTCACGCACAGCCAGGCGTGGTGGTCCCCTTTGTGTGGGTCAGCAGCTGCTCACGGTCACACCTGGGGGTTTATGCCCGAGTGCTTAATAGCAAAGGGCAGAAATACTGGGTCACCCTTTATCCCTGTTCCAGCTGCCATACCTTCTGAAACCGTCAGGTTCAGGCTGACGTAGAGGTCCCTGTTGGTGCTGCCGATGCCGCAGCGGTACGTCCCCGTGTCGCTGCTCTCCAGCTCCGTCATCGTCACCATGAAGGTGCCGTTCTGGGGGATGTCCTCGAGGGACACCCGGCCCACGTGGCCTTTGGAGACGTAGCCGGTTGTGGAAACGATGGTGTAGCAAACTCCATTGCTTGCTCTTTTACACCAGTATTTTCTGTCGTGCTTGTTGCTGGGTGTGATTGGGTAGAAGCACTGGTGGGTGACCGACCCGCCAACTGTGCCTGTCAGAAACCAGGGCCCGTACAAGGTACTCGAGACCGGCTCTTTGTGGGGAAAGAAGGAAACAGAAGTTTGTTAGAGACAGGCAGGTTCTGCCCTGGCAAAATCAGCCCTATGCCTTCGTGTCAGTGGGGGGCTCTGAGCACTGGTGTGATACCTGGCTCCGAAAGGCCAATGTTCATTTTGGACACGATATTTTACTTTCCTTGACTGCCCCATTACAGACTGTGCAGGTGGGGAAACCCTCCGGAGCAGGGTGTCCAGCTCCTCCGAGGGCAGAGCTCCCACCAGCCCTGACCCTCCTGCCCGGAGTGAAGTGTCAGGGGCAGCAGTCAACAGCAAACAGCCAGCGCTGACCTTTGGTGTTTGCAGACTGCCCGCTCTGGCAGCTTTCTTTCCCCCGCAGTGGCGTTGCGCAGGCAGCTGCACAAAGCGCAGAGCAGCGGGGTCCTGCCCGGGGCCGAGCCCGTGCCAGCAGGGTTTGACCCGGCCCCATTCTGCAGCCGGGGTTGGCTGCTGGTAGCAGGGATTTACCAGGAGCTGTGCCCCTGTCCCCTGCACCTCCAGGTTCGTCTGTTCTCATGGTAGGTGTCTGGAGGGTTTCTTTGCGACTCACCTTGCAGCAAAGCTACAAAGAGAAGGAGAACCTCCATGTCCACCTTCCTCAAATGTTTGCTCAGCAAACTTCCAAATCTCACTTTGGACGCTGGATTTTGCTGATGTCTCTGTTACCAAACAGAAGAGAGATTGTGGCAGTGATCTGCCAAGGTTGTCTCTGGCACCCCCTTGACGCAGACCACCCACGTCCCTCGCAGCTCCCACCCCGGGACATGGCACAGTGCAAGATAAGAGAATTTTAAAAAGAAAACAAGTGCTCGTAGCGATCCTGCATTAATCCTCTGTTGTTTGGGCAGGATGGTCTCAGACAGTGCTGGTAATGAACACTCAAAGGCAACCAAAGCTCAGGGATCAGGCTGCAGACCCAGCACCACAGGCTGAGACCTGTGTGAGCACTGGCTGAGAGTGGGCACGCACAGAGGGGTTTGAGGACCATGGTGGCATTTGCCAAAGCAGCACCAGGAGCCACAACACCTCACCAGGACCTGCACCCAGCCTCCTGCAGCCAGACCTACAGGCATCAAGTTTTATTTTATTTTATTTTATTTTATTTTATTTTATTTATTTTATTTTATTTTATTTATTTTATTTTATTTTATTTTATTTTATTTATTTTATTTTATTTTATTTTATTTTATTTTATTTTATTTTTCTTCCAGTGCAACAAACATGCTGCAGCTCTCGGGAATGCCAACAGCACTCCTTAAACACCTCCTGCCCAATTGCAATCATCTTTCCTGCCTTTTTATTTTTCTTCCCTGCAACCTCCTGCAGAAAATCTTTGGGCAGATTGCTGCTATCTGCTTTCAGATCTGAATAGAAACGGTGTTTGAGTGTCTCTGATTAGGAAGGGAATTATTTCCTTGTCTGGGTTAAAAATTGACCTCTAATTACTGCAGTTTTATCCCAGACTCCCTACTAAAATTCTTTGTTTAAGATTTGCATAACCCCCACCATGGTTAAAACCTTGATAGGTACAAACCAGGTGATTTATTTCATTCTTGTTAACACATTGAGATCACTTCAAAGCGTTTTGGAGATATGAACAAGGAAATGTCAGAAGCACAAAGCCACCATGGGCCTTATTCCCCGTCACGGTGCAGAGCTGAGCCCTGGCTGCCAGTGCTGGCGGTGGTGCCTGGGGCTGGGTGCCCGTGGGGGCCACGCTTCGGCTGCTGCCCACCTTGGTCTGCAGGGCACAAGGGGACACGCAGCTCTCATGCTCTCTCTACGCCTGGTTTTGGGCGTGATGTGCATCTCTCCTGGAGCTGCGACCCCCCCAGCTGTGAGCTTTGGGCTTGCAAACCTGGCTCCCACCCAGCTCTTGGCCTGGTAGGAAGCGTGGGTCAGGGCAGCAGAAACGGGCTCTTCCCCTTTCAACACAGGCAGAAGCGCTGTGGTGGGGCAGCTTCTCCACTGTACACCACTACAGCTGAGCCAGCGCCTTGCTCTGTTCCTTGTTTTGGGGCTGGGGACGTGAAGAGAAGTCCTGGCACCCCAAAATTAATGAAGAAGGTGCTGGTTTTGCCAACTAGAGGCCGAAGTTCCATCATTTAGCTGGCCCAGCTGCTGTGATCCTGGCGTTCAGGTTAGCATCCACACAAGGCTTTTTTTCCTAAGCAGACAAATTCTGTGCTGGCGTGAACGTGCTAAATTCCCTCTGGCATCAGGCCACGAACAACTGAGATGTGAAGTGTCTGCAAGCCCACAGAGCTCCTTGCCTCTCTCAGAGGTGGGTGCCACGCTTGCACAATCACCCAGCTGCAATCTCTAAAGATCAGGGACAATTAATTCGCAACCCCACTCATTCACTCCTCCATTTCCCACCCTGCAGCAACAGGCAGGGCGTTAGCGAAGAGCCTGAGCCGTGCCCTCCAGGACCACCATGAAGGGCTTTCAAGCTGCTAACAAGGAGATTTCACTTTTTCCAGGAGAAAAGCTAGTCCAATTATCTTGTGTAACTTCAGCTGAGTGCCAGCCCCGCTCATTCAGCCCTCAGCATGAAACGTGTGCTTTGGGGGTTATTTACAGCATCCCCTGGCAGGGAGCTGCAGGTAGGAGATGGCTGGCTGGTGTGCAGGCAGCTAGCCCATGTTGCAAATGACTTATGGGTTAGATGGAAGCTAAAATAAAGCACCTTCAGTGAGGTCTTTCTCACCTGCCTGTCTGTGCTTGCAGCACTGTTGGGTTGCTGGGCTGCTTTTTTTGTGCTCTCTGTGGGGTCTGTTGTGAAAAATCCTCAATAGGGGGAGTACTGATGGGGGAGAGTGGACTTGGTTTCCTATCGATGACACAGAGCTGTCAGATAAATCTTAAATTCTTTTAATTTCAGGATTTAGGTGAGGGGGTGTTTTGTTTTTAACCAGCAAAATAGGCATTTCTCACCCCAGTAACAGAGCAGAAAGTGAAAAGAGAGACAGAGTTATAAATCCTGGAAGAGCAGGCCTTACTGAGAAGCACGGATTTTTTTTCCTGACTTCAATTCAATTCTGTTGTGTGAAAATGTTTATATGCACAGTTTTCTTCACCTATCTGATTAAACCACCAGCCTGCTCCCATCTGAAGGAAGCTAGCTGCTGTTATGCACTAATTGTACAAAGGGTCTCTCTGTGTGGGTGTGCAGAAGAACTTGCCTCATCTATCTCATTTTTTTAATGTGTTCTTTTTTTAAAACAAACAAACAAAACAATCTAATTTATAACTTAAAAAAAATAGTTACACCAGCTTAAAAAAATATATTTCAGCATAAATAATTTATGCTACGCTTACTGCTATAGAAATAATTACCTTAAATATCAGATCTGATGCATATTGTAAGGGAAATCCATCAGAGTGGCACATAAAAATGCTGCCTGATAGCATTATAGTAATAGTAAATAGTGAATTAAGAACAAATTGAGGATCACCCACCTGAGGCTAAGATGCTTCTGCTGCTGGAAGTTTCCTCCTGCACTGCACTCCGGTTTAGATTTAGTCTAATGAAGTATCTTGCAGCTCAGATGGTCTTTGCTCTGTTCTTGATGTTAAACTATTTTTTAAAATATACTGATGTCCAGAGTTAAGAAAAAAGTGTATTCCCTTTTTAAAATCCAGGCATGCCTTGCCGAGCAAATTGGAGATGGCCAAAATACTTAGACAATGGTAGAAATGCCACCAGTGTACTGAACGTGGAACCTGAAAAATGTTCATTTTTAGCCACCAAGTGATGTGGGTAACATCATGGAAGAAAAATACTGAAGAGGTCAGGAGCAGAAATTGTGAAGTTTGAGAGGAGTTCCCCTGTTTTTCAGAAAACTTGCAAAGATTTAACACCAAACGACTGCTTCTAATCACTAGCAGTGATTGCTGGGAACTGCTCCCAGGCAGAACTTAACATAAAGAACAAACTTCGTGTGTGTTACCTCAAACTTCTGCAGTTTGAATGAACCCGACTGCGGTCACCAGCTCGTGCCTGTCCTCTGGTGCTGTGCTCTGTATGAATACAGGATAAAAAGCTGTTTTCTGCCCTGATGTTTGTTATAAAATTATCCAAGCAGGCAGAACGTAGCAAGTGATGCCCTGTTGATAAAAGTCCTGCCTAACTAACATGTTTGTTTGCTTGTTTTTTGGTCTGTTTTTTTTTTTTTTTTTTCTCTCTCTAGTAATTCCTTTGCACTGCAGAGCATACTCAGATGCCTCTTCCACAAGGACATCGCCTTGATAACCAGAAAAACTCTATTCAGCCTTCACAATTGTATAAAATGAATGTTCAGACTCTTTCTTAAGGGGTTGTGGGGTTTGTTTGTTTTGTTTTCCATGCACTGCTAATCTCTGCTTGCAGGGCTCCATCCCACAGGTTCACCCCAAGTCCTGACTTCACTCAAATAGCCTGAAGAAGTCACCCTGAGAGCTCTGGAAGCGGCCAGAAGCTGGCTCTGGGAAGCTCAGGGCCCTGGTACCCAAGAAGCACAAACCAGCCCAGCTCTCCAGGGCTAAACACTGCCGTCTTTCTGCTGTAATTCCCAGGTAAGCAGCTTCAGTTACAATCATGTTAATTGAAGAAAATTATATCGGAGCATTGCTACATAGCCCGACTGAACCAAATTGCCAATCAGCGAAGTAGATCAACGTTGAGAAATCAAAGCAGCATGTCAGTAAGGCACAGACTCAGGAACACCTTTACTTGCCATTTTGTAGTGATTAACTGCTCTCTCATTTTGCTATGCCTCAACCATTGCATATTTAAAGTTGGGCAGTCAGGGGGTTGCAGGGCCTCGAGAAATGCACCATCATTCCTTGCTAAGCCCAGAACTTTGTCGAGGTGTGACCAAAGCCCAAAGTCTTGGTTCACGTGGCAATGGCCATGCTCATTGCCTTGCAGGGGCTGGAGATGTGGCTAAGGGCTGCTCGTTCCTGCACACATGCAATTCCTCTTCCACGCTGACCAAGTCATCCTAATCGGCTAAAGCTTGGATGTGGCGCTCGTTATTTCAAAGCTAGGTGTGCATGGTAATGGTTGTGTTATTGCGGGGACTTTGCTCTGTTTTTCTTTCAAATAAAAAAGACGGGTTGAAAAAGTCTCCCTGTGTCAGTTCTGAGAACACCCTGGGCTGGTCCTGCCTCTCTGCATATCTGCAGGGGCTGCAAGATATCGCAGTGTGAGAAATAGCATGTGGTTCAGAGCGTTCACAGCGGGGCTGATAGAAACCACTTACTGGAAGGCTTTTGTCTGCCCCGGTGCAGCGCTGCCAGGGTTCAGAGGTCCGACTCCTGCACTCCTCGTACACAGGCATGCTTTGAAGGCTGTGATCATGTTTTCTGTGAGTCAATGTTTGAAGCACTTTGGAATCTCCCTGGCTGAAGGCATATCTCTATCAAGTAGTTTTGCTTTCTTTATCATGATATGATTACTTATATTGCAGTAAATTTTGTTGTTTTGTTCCAAACCTGTGCAATAACCAGCTCACAATATTGATTTTACTGCAATGATATTGGTCTCTCTAAGGATGTTTTTATTTACCGCATTGTTAGCAAAGCAAGCGGATTGCCCTTGTACTAGCAATAAAATGCGATGCATAAAACTGATAAGAAACGTCTAGGACTGTTGAGTGTTATTTATCCATGCAGCAGATGTGGCTGAAATGTTCAGCCCACAACAAGCTGCCCTCTCTGGGGAGCCCCAGCCGTGCTGAAGGGGCAGCTGGAGGGTTGTGGTGCAGCTCCTTCCCTTGGCACCCAGGGACCCCTCTGCAGGTCTGTGTCCAAGGGCTGAGGGAGAAGCAGAGCTGATGCCACCTCTGTGGGGCACAGTGGGATTTGCAAGGGTGAGCTGAGGATGGGAGCTGAGCTGCTTCTCCTTGCCCTTTGGGAAAACCACATCCAAGGCTGAGAGGGTCTCCAACAGCCTGATCACCCCAGTTGTCCTCACCTGGCTGACAGTTTAGGTAAAATTGTGCCTGCCTCAGCTGATGAGCCCTGCACAGCACCAGTGTCCCCCGGGACCCAAGGCACTGCAGGGGCTGCAGCCTCGGTGCAGAGACCTGGGCTCAGGAGGTCCAAGGGGCCTGGGTGCAGATTTGTGTCCTCATTTCAGGAAGCACTCGGCATGCTCAAAGGTTGCTCTCACAATTGTTTTATTGCCCCTGATAAGACGAAGCCTACTTCCACACCTGTTAATAATTCATTTTAACTGTGGTGCTGGGTTAACTGCTCCATGTTCGGCTTTCATTACCTTTCCCTAAATATTCGTCTGCCCCTAGTGCTGGGAAAGGCCAAGTCCCCTCTGTGGGGCCAGACCCCGGCTCTCGGTGCGGCTCGGAGGGGGCACAGCAGGGAAGGATCCCCCCTGCCCTAGCTTCTTCCTGGGGCTGGCAGGGGGTCGGGGGTCGGGGGAGCGCCCGCTTTGCGCTGCCGGCAGCAAAAAGCCGCGGCCGCCTCCGGGCTCCTGGGCTGAAAATGCCTTCGCAGCACAGCTCAGATGCGGGGAGCGCACGGGTGCCGGCTGTCCCCGGCCCTGCCCGGCTGTCCCCGGCCGTGCCCGGGCGGGCGGCGCTCCCCGCGGGCGCGCAGTGCCACCGCGCGTCGCTCCGCGGAGCTGTCACCGCTGCGCCCTGGCGACACCTTGCTGGCACCGCGGGGAACGGTGCCGGGAGCAGGGAAAAGTCCCGGCGCTGCCACCTGCCCCTAAACCCGGGCTAAGGGGCTGCTGTCGGGGCTCGCAGCCCGCAGGATTGGTGCCGGGAGCTGCTCGCTCCGGACCCGAGGCATGGAATGCTCTGCCCGATGGTACTGCTGGTAACATCAAAAGGGAGACCCCCAGTTTCCAGGCCACAGCTGGAAAACACCTCTTCTAGAGAGTCATTTTTTGGAAAACAGGTCTTCTAGAGAGTTATTTTTTGTATTTTTTTTATATTATTATTTGGATGCAAATTCTTGACCTCTCTGGGTACGTGGGTGGGACCCGGCTCCGCTTCTGCATTTCCCTGAGTCCAGAAAGGGGCACTTCTGTACCTCAGTACAGAGAAGGGAGGGAGGTGTGTGAGCAAAGTGTGGCCGGGCGGGAGGGGTTAAGGCTCCTCCGTTTGCTCCCTGCCTTGTTCAGCCTGAGGGTGTTCAGCACCAGGAGCAGCCGCTGTTGCGGGGTGTCTGCTGGGGTGTTGTGTGCTGCCAGCCTGCTGCAGGGGCACGCTGAGATGGGTGACAAAACCTGCTGCCACCAGGTGAGTCGCCAGCGCCTGGCATCCCGTGGGCTCCTTACGGAAGGTAATGAATGCAGCTTGGGGCTGCTACGTCCTGCAGGGAGTGCTGCAGCCTGTGTATGGATGGAAACGAGCAGAATCGCTGGGGAACTGGGAGAAAAGAGCAACCTCTGGGGGATAAGGAGAAGGATTTATGATATGTAAAGTCGCAGCAGAATCCCAGCCCTGTGGATAGGGGCTGGTTTGCCCCAGTAGTGGGAGCTGCAGGAGCTGCTGGAGCAGCCACGGCTGCGTTGGGAAGGAGCTCAGCGGGGTGAGATCAAAGGCAGCGGCTGCTGTCGGACGAGCTCTCCCGAGAGGAGCCGGTCGGGCCGGGTAACACGTCCTGAGTCACTCTGAAGAGCAGTGAGGTGGCAAGATATTGTGGGTGGAGGCAGATTGGCGGTGACAGGGATGCTGTGAGGGGTGCTAACAAGCAGCGCTAGCACCGAGCTGCTTCCTCGCTCACCCGGGGCTCTCTGCACAAGGTCCCGGGTGTCCCGAGCTGACCCCAGCTTTTGGACAGCTGGGCTCTCCACCTCCTTCAGATAGAAAAACAAACAAACAGATTCAGCAGCTCTGGAGCAGCGAGGGACATTTTCAGAGCATCACTCCCGAAGCGAGGAGCACGCCGTGGCAGGGTGACAGTGACCACAGCAAGAGGCAGGGACTGCGCGGGGGACAGTGACAGCAGCTCTTCATGGCCTTGCAGCTTCTCCTATTGCTAAACAAGAGCTGACTTTCAGAATTTGCTCTTCTGAGCTACGCCTCTGAAGGAAATTTCTCTTCCTTCCTGTAATGAGCACACGATGACGAGCAAATCTCTTCCCCCTGAGCAGCGGCCCTGTGCCACACGGATGGGCATCGTGCTGGGACCTGGTGTGTGTTCTCCCAACCAGCAGCATTGGAGGCTTCTGGCAGCATCTCCGCACAGCCTCCCTGTGCTCAGAGCTGTTACCAGTAAATCCCAGCACCCCCTGCTTGTTCTGCAGCGTCCATGGGAGTTAATAATTAAATTGGAGCTAGGGCAGTGCTGTTGAAACAAGTCGGATACGTTATCGCTGCGCACGAACCCCTGTGTCAGGAACAATAACGACCCGTTCTGTCTCTTACTGAACTTCAAAGCTAAAGGGCATTTGAAAACAAAGAGCTGAAATCTCACAGCAGCGTGTTCACCCACACCGGCCTGCCAAGGGAGATGCAGGGGCTCACTGGGGCTGAACTGTCACATCCTGACCAGAGCAGGGACAAGGCAGCTTCCTGATACCACCAGAATTTAACAAACCACTTCTCCTGAAAGTGATCTTTGTAATGAAAGATGTGTGCAAGAACGCTTTAATTGGGCTAGCAGGTCTCGACAGACTCACATAGACATGGAAATGACACGTCTGAGCCAGTGCGGGACTGATAGTTAAAAAGTGGATAAATAGTCTATGCAAAATGCAAAGCTGAGTGTTTTCTTTGGATCCTTACTAAGATTGTTGCACTGTGTAAACACAGCCTGCATAATCCAGGCATCGAGGGTACATTTGCCAACTCTTTATGTTACATTTTTAATATTATGTTTTCTCTTCATGGCTACTTTTTTGTCTAGGGTTTGCTGTAATTTTACCTTCCAGACACAACTCAGGAACATTATGCCCGGAATTAAATGGTACCAAGTCTGCTTTCAGAGGTACCCAGACAGGAGCCCAGGAACTCATCTGGAGTCCGGATGAATGTGGATTTTGGTTTTGTTCTTTCTTTTCTCCTGCTCATCTCCCGGACACCCTGGGAAAGCCAAGCACCCACCATGGCTCTGCCAAGTGCTTTTTATCGTGTTATTGAGTCTCTGTGCACACTGTGTCAGTACTTTTAGGTTAAAAATGACCACGTTTCTGTGCGAAAGAGCAGCAATCACTACAGCCCCTCGCACCAGCTGTGCTTGGGCAAGGCTTTGGGCTTGATGAAGGCAGCAGCCAGGCACCTGAGCTCAGTGCCCTATAAAAGAGACACGAAGTGCTCTGCTCGGGCTTCTTCTAGTCTGCGAAGTGGGGCTGTTTGGGCTGCTTGTGCACCAGGTGATGGCGGGGATGCTGCGGGCACTTGGCTGCAGAGCAGCTCATCCTGGAGACTGCTGCTGAGCGGCGTGGGCTGGGTCGGAGCAGAGGTAAAGCTTCCCTTTGAGCCTATGGATTACTGGGTTACATCTGAGCAGGAGATCTCTGCTCCCTGTGGTCTTTACTGGCTGGTGTGGAGGGAGAAATCGCCTGGGAGGCTGCCAGCACGGGGCTGATGTGGCTGATGCTGGCCCCCAGCCCTGCTCCCAGGGGCTGCAGCTGCCTCCCGGGGTGCAGCAGGAGAGGTTTCCACCCGGTGCTGTGCTCCCCAGGCCCTTGACTTTCAAGTGCAAATGACTGATTTTAAAGGAGTGGCCTTTTCATGGCCTAAATGAAAGAGGAGAAGTTTTGGTTGGCTATCTTGGCAGAAAATTTGCTTTAAAGGTTATATGTTCAGCCCCGAGGGCATGGGGTGATGGTCAGCTACAGGAGCGATTGGCGATTACAGGAGCTGTGCACATGGCCCAGCTGGTGTGAAATGCAAACAAAAGGGAATAAATTGAAGCAGCTGCACGGATGAGTGGTGTCCCTTCTCTGAACTCCCAGAGCTGTGCCTCTTCCCAGGGCGAAGTGCTTCTCTTGGCCTTGGGTCCTCTGGGTGTAATCGCTCACCCTGGGCCAGCCCTGCTGAGAGCAGGCGTTGCTATGTAATCCTGCGAGCAAAAATACAGCAATTGACAGGAGAGGTGTGTTTGCAGCCCTTAGAAGGGAAGGGAAGGTGTTTATCCCCGCGGGCTGTGT